GATGCTGGTGTCGAAAGCTGCTCCAACGCCGGCTCGTAGCCTGATCCGCATTCCACAGCTTCGTGGTGAGGAATTATGTCCTCTCGCGCGACGGACGAGTTGGCGATACCTCGTCCGACGCCCTCTTCGTTCCCATATGCGGCAGCGGTGTCGATATTGCCGGTAGCTTCGGCGTCGTCGAGCGAACCGCACTGCATGCCTTTCGGTTTCGTCGTTGGTGGCTGCCAGACTCCGGAGGCCGAGTTGCGGGATCGTGGTTCCGAATTCAGCGTGATGTCAGGATTGCTCATGGACTGCAGGGCTAGCGATCTCGAAGCTTTCCTTGCCTGGGTCAGGAGCCGCCTGGTCAGAGAGTCGTAGCCGAGTACCCGTGTGCCGCTGCAACACTGTCGGCCAGGAGCAGGCCGTCGTGTGTGCTCCAGTCCTGACCCCAGGCCGGGAACTGTCGCGACCGCGTCCTTCCACCCTTGTCTGCCAATGCGACGACGTACGGAAGCGTCGCGTTGGTGGAGCGCGTACGTCGACGTACGGGGACGGCTCCAATGATGTTCGCAGCACGCAGTAGAAGACGGAACCGTGAACACAATGGTACGTCGGATCGGCGTGCGTGGTCGCGTGTGAATCCTCAAGCAGCCGCCCCTGGTCGATGGCGATGTCGACCAGTACAGATCCCGGCTTCATGCGCGCCACCAGGCTGTTGGAGACGAGGGTCGGCGCCTTCGCCCCGGGGACCAGCACTGCGCCGATGACGAGGTCGGCGTCGAGTACTGCCTGTTCCAGTTCGAGGCTGTTGGACGTATGGTCTTGACCTGGCCGTGGTACAGCTCGTCCGATTTCCCGCAGGCGCGCGATCGACAGATCGAGAACGGTGACGTCGGCCTGCATGCCGTAGGCCACGGCGATGGCGTTCTTGCCGGAGACGCCAGCACCGATCACCACGACCTTGGCGGGGCGCACTCCAGGGACGCCGCCCATCAGCACTCCGCGTCCGCCGCCGTGTCGACGCATCAAGTGGTAGGGCGCCGGCCTGCGGCGCAAGGCGTCCGGCTACTTCGCTCATCCGGTGCGAAGGGGCAGTGTGAGCCGTCGGAACCGACAACGGTTTCGTAGGCGATGGAGGTGGTCTTCGAAGCCAGGAGTGCGTCGGTGCATTCCTTCGACGCCGCCAGGTGCAGGTAGGTGAAGAGCACCTGATCCCTACGGAGTCGCGAATACTCTTCTGCAATAGGTTCTTTGACCTTCAGGAGCAGATCTCAGTCTGTCCAGACCTGGATCGGCGGACCCGAGGATCTGCGCGCCCGCGGCCCTGAAATCCTCGTCACTGAACGAGGAGCCGACGCCTGCGCCCGTTTCGATGACGACCTCGTGCCCTCGGCCGACCAGTTCGTGGACGCCTGCTGGGCTGATAGCCACGCGGTACTCGTGGTTTTTGATTTCGCGGGGATTCCGACCTTCATGACGCGGCTCCGAACTGAGTCTGTTGTTTCTTCGAATGGCAGGTGCTCTAGCGGCATGGTTGGTCGGCCAGATAGTGAAGAGAAGCGAAGATAATTCTCTAAGGCTGTATTCATGGTGCGCGAAAGTTCAAAAATCGGTATTCAGACGGCCGCCTCGCCGAATGCATGTTCGGGCTGCCGTGAAGTTGGACGAGGTCGACCGGGTTTTCTTCGACTCCGAGCTGGCGAAAAACGCGAGGAGTTCCGAACAAATGCGCCTGGCCGCGATCAGCGGAATTGCGCCGTCGACATGCCCTTCGGCCGTGTGCGCGCCTTGGTGGACAACGGCGTGATCAGGGATTTCACGCGGACATCGACCCCGCCGCTCTCGGAGATGGATCTGCAGGCGATGATCGCAGTTCGACTGCAGGCCAACGCGAAGGTCGCACCTCAACCGGCTCGGCACGATTCCGCTAAGCTGGACTCGGTGCTCAACGTGTACTTCGTTGCCGGTGTCGACGACTACATGCTGCAACGTCGCAACGACGGATTCGGCGCCAGTTGCGTGACTTCGTCGTCAACAATCTCGCACATCCAGCGGTTGCTGCGACCGAGACGATTCTGATCTTCGAACACGTCAGGCCTCGAGGCGGTAAACTGCCTGATTAGTTCTCACCTGATGGCGGGTCGACGCCCGGACCAGGCGTTCTCGCCGGGGAGTTCGCCTCGGAGCCCGGCGGGGTGATCTCACGCGGGTTCGGATACGCGGCGGAGGTGGCTGAGTTCGACTGCATTTTCGATTTGATCGTGACTCATTCCCAGTTCTCGCAGAGTGGTCGGTCCGCCGCACGCGGTGACGAGGTCGAAAACGCCGGTAGCGGCATCGGATGCGCCCAGAGCAGTCGCTATTCGCGACATCACATCCGGGACAGCAGGCGCGTTGGAATGCCATCGCGTGGGGAGTGACAACGGTGTGGGTGCGGGAGCATGCGGCAAACCGAAGCTGCCACCGAGGGTGTGGCACAACTTGTGATGAAGCCCCATACCGACCGTGCCCAAGCAGGTTCCGGCCAACCAGGCTGCTTTGCAGTAGTTCGGCCCTACCTTCCAGATTTTCCGGATCATCGACAATGATCGTGCAGCGCACGGGCGATCCCGAGATCGCCCTCGATCGCCATCAAGTCCGTGATCGGGTTGGACTCGGTGGAGTACAACGCTTCAACCGCATGCGCCATCGCATTGACGGCGCTGGTGACGGTGGTATCCAGCGGCAGATCGAGAGTGAGGTCGACGTCGTAGATGACGGTTTCCGGTCTGATGTGGGGAGAGGAGCGAGTTGTCTTGCGTCCGTTCTCTGTTTCACCCAACACCGGAGTGACTTCTGATCCCGCGTACGTTGTCGGAACGACGATCCTGATCGAACCCCGCTCGTGGTGCCAGCGCCTGGGACAACCCGGTTGCCGAACCGCCGCCGATCGCGACGACCGTGTCGACGTGATGGTTCTCGGCAAGTCTTCAGCGCGGCTGTCGTGACTTCGATCGAGTATGCATCACAGCGCCGTCGAAGCGGACCCACCGCCATGTCGCCGAGAGATTCGGTGACGGCGGCGGCAACCGCGTCGAGTCGACGACTTTGCCAGGCACCATCACTCGGCTACGGCCGAGCCGCCGCACTTCTCTACGGCGATCGTATCGATCATCCCTTGGCCGAAGGCAATTCGAGACGGTGAAGCGTCGTACGAGAAGGGCTTCATGTCATCCCTGAGAAAACGGTGGCGTGCATTTCCCCAGACGATGACCTCTGCCCCGGTATCGGAGCTGAGCTGCTGACCTCCACCGCCGGATACTCGCACCGCGTCGCCTTGTTCGAGCACTCCGACGCCTTCCATGGCGGCCTGACCGTCGGCGACAAAAACATGCAGGAACGGTGCGTCCGGCAGGGTCACAGGTTGTCCGGGTTGCAGACGCGCAACGTGCATCGCGGCGTACTTGTTCTTGATCCGGATTGCCGGTAGTGATCGGCGTACGCGTTCATGCCCGACGCGACGGGAACCAGTCCACCGGCAAGCAATTCGGCGTCGATCTCCAACTGCTCGTATCCGGGCGTGATTCCGGCCTCGTCGGGGACGACCCACATCTGGATGAAGTGGAACCGGGTCGCTGTGCTGTCGCGTCGGAATGCGTCACCCGCCACGTCACCGAGTCGCCACGAATCGTTCTTCTCCGAATGCAGGATTCCCGTTCCAGCGCTCATCCGCTGGGCGAGCACCGGGGCAGATGACGCCCGAATGCCCCATCGAATCCTGATGTACGAGAGAACCTCCAGTACCCAGGTGACGATCTCTCCATGTCCTGGTGCGGGTGGGTGTCGAATCCCATTCCGGGCGTGACGATGTCGTCGTTGTTGACCAGGAGAAGACCGTGGTGAGTGTTCTTCGGGTCGTAGTGATTGCTGAACGAGAACGAGTGCTTCGAGTCCAGCCAGCCGGCATTGGGACTTGAAGCGATCCCCGGATCGACGGATATCGAGGTTCGGCTGCGACAGAGTGGAGGCCGTGGTGTGCCTTCCGAATGGTGTGGGGAGAGCAAGTTTTCCGGAGGACGTGATTGCGGTACATCTCTGCCGAGGCCGGGTCGGCGATCAGCTCGAGTCGAGCGCCGTCGGGATCGCGGAAGTACAACGAAACCTCGCTAGTGCTCGATCAGTTCTGACGCCGGCCTCCACGGTCAGTTGGGGTGCGCCAGCTTCGCCCACTTGGCAGGTCTCGACGCTGATCGCGATGTGGTGGAGGCCGCCGAGTACTTCTTGGTACGGGCCCACGTCGAGCTCCGGGAAGTCGAAGAAGGCCAGAAGGTTGCCTATTGCCGATGTCGAAGAAGAAGTGCGACGACCCGGGATAGTCACGGTTCTCGAGTCAACTCGGTGAGTGGGAATCTGAGGAGATCCTGGTAGAACTTCACGGTTCGTTCTGACGTCACTGCTGATCAGGGCCGTATGGTGCAGGCCGCGTGCGGTCGATGCGGGTCGTTTGTCGGCGGGGAGCAGATGTCGATCCTGATCTCGGCCCGGCGTTCCTCGAACTGCACTGCGTTGTCGAACTTGCACTACGTTGTTGTCGCTCATGGCGCCCGCCTCTCGGTTTGAACCTTCTCTTCGAACAGGTAGTTGACTGATCCAACGGCATTGAGAATAGATCATTTGATTTCGTTGTCAACTACTTCGGATATGCACTGGTGTCGGAATCGACGCGGTGGTTGGAGCCGACTCGGAGCAAACGGCCTGGCGTGGGCTTACCTGGACTCGACCCGACTGCTCCAGCGTAGTTCTCGATCAGCAGTTGGTGCGAGACTCCGACATTTCTCCTTCACCGATTTCGAACTGCTGGTTCGCTCTCTGCCGAAGCGCCCGGGCGGCAACTGCGCATGAGTGAGCTCGCCGATGCTGTGATGGCTACACGAAGTGGTGTGACCAGGGCCGTCAATCGGTTGGTCGGTGCGGTGGGTGCGCCGGGTTGAGTGTGTCGGACGACAAGAGGGGCGCCAATGCGGAGCTGACCGGACTTGGGTGCCGACAAACTGGCGTCGGCAAGCCCGGCGCAACGTAAGCCGCAGTGCGGCGAGAGCATGTTCGATCTGCTGAGCCCGCGAGATGTCGAGCGGCTCGGTGTGGTCTTCGGTGAGATGCGTCAGCACCTTCTCGAGCCCAGTCTGGTAATTGACAGAGCAACGGTCCACGTCACGTAGTTGGTGAGGGCTGCGAACGGACTGCCATCATTGTCTGGTGACCCGCATTCGTATGTTCGCAACCGACCTCGACGGCACCCTGCTGCGCTTCCGGACCGAACGTATCGGCGCGCACCGCGCTGGCGGGAGGTACGCAGGGCTCGCCGGAATCGAAGTTGTGTGGGCGACGGCCCGCGCCCGGCATTCGGCGGTACACACTTTGTGGCGAACTCGTGCGGATTTCGCGGTAAAGCTGTGTGCCAACGAGCTGTGATTCTCGACCTCGCCCGACGGGACTTCGGAGATCGTCGACACCAATCTCGATCGAAATGTCCCCCGGCTGCAACGGCGATGGAGCAAAGTTCGCGTACTGGTTCCGGGCGTCGTGTTCGCGAACGTCGGACCCACTCAGTTCTTTTGCCGAGCCGGAGTATGCTGGCTCTGTGCGAATTCGCGACCATCACCGGCACCTGCACGAGATGGTGCTCGCCGGATACCCTGCCGCTGGACGTGGAGCCGATGGGTCAAGATCGTTGGCCCGGCATGCGAAGTTCCCAGCGCCGACCTGTGACCGAACAGCGGTCGCTGCGGGCATCGAGGGCGTGGAGTTGACCCACTCCGGCGCCCCGTACGCATGGAAATATGCACGCGGCGGGCGTCTCGAAGCGACCAGCGCTCTCGCAGTTGTGCGCGATCGGCTGCATCGACGCAGTCGGAAGGTGGCGGCAGCCGGTGACGCCTTCAATGACGTTGCCATGCTGACCTGGGCGGGAACGGAGCGTCTGGCGCCGGCCAACGCGAGAACCGAGGGTCATCGAGCTCGCCGACCGAATTCTGCCCACGAACAGACGAGGACGGCGTGGCGAGCTATCTCGAAGAATTGGTTGCGGGCGCTAGTTCAGCTGCTGACGGCCTTGGGTCCAGTGCCGATACCGACTCCGCAGTCCGTCATGAATTCGGAGAAGACGCGGTCGAAGCGATCCGGGTAGTCAAGGTGCGGAAATGTCCGGCGCGCTTGAAGATCTCCACCCGCCCCAGCGGTAGTTCGGCGCGGGCGTTCTCGGTGTGGGCGTTGGGGATGATGGTGTCTTCCTCACCCCACACCAGTAGTGCCTGCAGATTCTTGAAGTTGGCGAAATGCGGAGTGGCATTGACGGTTTGACCGTTGTAATTGATGACCGATCGTGCCGTCGCCAGAAATGCCTCGACGTGTCGACGCGCGTCCGATACCGAAGCGAAGCTCTTACGAGCCTCGCTCGCGCTGGCACCGAGCTTGAACAGGCCGATCTTGTTGAAAAGTCCGAGCGCTGGTCGGTCACGTCGGTCAGCGTCCTCGACGCGAGGACGGGAAGTACCAGTTCGCTGCCGGGCAGTGTCGCCGCGCGCAGGAGTGGGCTCACCTGCCGAGTCCACCGCTGGCTACCAGGCACAGCCGCTCCACCCGGTCGGGAACAGATACAGCGTCTGCATCGCGATCCCACCACCGAGGGAGTGGCCGACCAGGGTGGCCGACGGAATGTCGAGGGCTTCGGAGGAGGTCACGCACAGTGGCGGCGTGAGCACTGAGTGAATAGTCGCCGGCAGGCTTGTCCGACGCACCGTGTCCGAAGAGATCAGGGCGATCACGCGGTAATGACGCGAGAGCGTCTCGATCTGCGGTTCCCAGTTGGAGTGCGCGCCCAGCAGGCCGTGAATGAGCACCACGACGGGGCCACTGCCTTGGTCGACGTATTTGAGCTGGTCGTCCGCAATACAACCGTCTGTAATTGGTCGGTTGCCATGATTGAACCTTTCGGAGCCGCCAGTGTCTGTGGCTGCTCGCGTGTTGTCGGACCGCACCCGCCCCGACGCGGATCCACGGGTATTTGTGACCGGGAGTAACCCCAGTTCCCTCAGTATGCCCATCGAGGGGTCGATGTCGTGGCCATCGGGCGTGTTGTGACGAACCGTGAGCCGTCGGCTGAGGGGGAGACGTACAACTCACCGCCGCGTGTCGGTGCCGTTGATCAGGTGAAATCGACCAGTTTGGAAGGTGAGGTTGATGTCCCACGGTGTGACGCCCCACGTCTCGATCGCTGAAACCGCGAAGATTCCGGCAGCCCGATGGTGTCCTGTGAGGCTGGTGCCGACACCGAAACGCCGGTTTGGTCGCTCAGGCCTCCGGCCAGACGCCCAGGCCCACGGGTGCGGGGTTTGCCTCCATGACTGCGTTGGCCAGGCCCGATTCGTCGACGGTCGTGAAGAGGCAGTTCGGCTCGTGCGGAGAATCCCACCCGCCGAGTTCCGCGAGCCAGAATTCGCCGCGTCCAGCAGCGGAGATCGCGATGGACGCGAGTACCGATTCGAGATCTTCCCAAGCGTCGCCGGTCGGGGCCGACGCGTCGGTGAGCTTGAACGGTGCGGCGAGGGCAGTGCTGTCCGGGGACGCGAAGCGCGGCTGCACAGTGAGGGTCTGTGTCTGGGTATCCAAAACGCAACTTCTCGGAACTTGTTGTCCGGCAGAGCAGTACGAGCTACGAGGCCGCGTCCAAGCAGTGCGCCGAGCGCCTCCGGGATCGTCGACGCTCACAGCGGGTCTCGTCCTCGGACCAGGTGCGGAATAATTCCGCCGACGACAGGACTGATCAGCACAGGCTCGAGGTTCGGCACTGCCTGTTGATTCGCTCACCGCTGGCTCCCCACCGCACTTCGTACCGTCGGACGGGTTCCGGCGGCTGATAAGTATGCCGCCTCGCTGCTAGTGCGCCTTTATTAACCGCCGGGGGTTAATAAAGGCGCACGGCAGGGGATCACATATGCGTGCCGCCGTCGATGCGGATTTCCGTTCCGGTGACAAACGATCCGTCCTCGGAAGCGAGCATCGCGATCACGCCGGCGACCGCGGACGGGGCGCGAAACCCTCACCGATTGCTGGGGCCAGCTTGCCGAGGCAGCGTAAAGTCGACGTCGGCCAGGCCGGGGATCGGACGTCATGCCCGAAGCGATGCTGCCGGGTGCGGCGGCCACGGCGCGAAGACCCTGCTTGCTGTACTTTCGAAGTGCAAAGATGCGTGCGTGAAGCGATTGGATTCCACCCTTCGACGCCGCATATGCCGTCATGTACGGGTGGGCGAAGGTCGCCGAGGTGGAACTGAAGTTGACCACGACGCCTGCTCCACTTTCGAGCAATGCCGGCAGGGACTCCCTCGTCGTGAGAACGTTCCGGTGAGGTTGACCCCGATGACGGTGTTCGTGAAATCGAGTGTCATCGTGGGTGCGCGGAGCGCAGAATGCCCGCCGCATTGACCAGCACGTCGAGCCCGCCCAGAGCCTTGATCCGCAGCGCCGACCTGTTCGCGAACAGACTCTTCGCTGGAGATGTCGACCTTCACCGTGGTGAGGCGATCGGAGTGGCCGGCGTCCTTCGCGGCGTTCAGCGTCTGTTCGAGGCCGGTCTGTCTCGGAAATGTCGGCGGCGGACGACGGTGCCTCCTTCTGCCAGGATGCGGGCAACGGTGGCCTGGCCAGGATTCCGGACCCTGCGCCGCTGATGAGGACGCGCTTGTCGTCCGAACTGATTCACGAGAAAACTCCGGTCTGTGAGATGGACAGCTGTCTGGTGACCGATTCTGCGCTACCGGAGTGGTATAAGGAGACAGCGGAATGTTCCGCTCAGTGGGTGACTGCTACTTGCAACTGGCTTACCTGAGGCGCAGTTGGTCGAATACATTCAGACCGGTCGCAATAGGTTGGCCCATTGAACGCGAATCGGGGAAACAAGTGTCGCTTCCGCAGTTGACTTTGGACGAGGCTCTTCTCTGCCGAATTGCTTTCTTCAAACGGAGATAAACCTTTCCGGTAACGGCAAACTTAGGCAGAAGGCAAGTTTCGGCAAAGAGCGGTATCGAACTGCTGCAAATTCTTTGGTGGACAAGAACCTGGTCCGTAAAGCAGGCGGCCGGGGTGGGAGGCGTGGTTCGGGAATCCTACTGAAAGACCAGGACGCCGACGCGTCAGTTACGACGCTGACCCCCCGTGCCGTTCAGGATCCGAGAATGAACCTCTACGCACCGATGGTCGATGTGCTGCGGGAGCTTCCACTCCGCAAATCCGGAGTGGCGCCACGCTGACGGTCGACGACGTCGCTAATCCAAGGTAAGTCGAAGCACCGGCGGTACAATGGTCACGCTCAGATCTTGTGACTAATCTCGGTACGTAGATTCGACTACGTACCTGGACCTTTCTGGAGGCCACAACCGTTGAGGTGAAGCCTTCGATCAAGTCAATGTCACAGCGGTGTACGAAGCGCTTGCGCATCGTCGGGCCTCGACGCACGCCGTTGTCGCGTTCCATATCCCCACGTATCTCACGGATGCACTCGGGAGACCGCTTCAGAGGTTCGCACAGGTTGCCAGTTCTCACTGGAATTGGGGTAGTTACCTTCGCAGATCCTGGAGATAAAGCGACTCTGGCGAGTGCGTGAAGAAGCTGAACGGTTCGAACCGGATCCGGTGAGACTGGAACAAGCTGATAGAAAAGCGCTTCGACCAGCTCACGGGAACGGATTGCAATCGAACTGAGGCGGAACATGCAGTTTCCAGGAAGTCTCACCATCGAGTCTCGTCAATACCCGAGAACGGGTTGGTCGCTCCTGCCGAGAGCTGAAGTCTGTTCGACACCGAACGAGACGGTGCTTGTTCGCCCGGGATTGCGAGCGAAACAAGCACCGACGTCTCCTAGAGGCCCGCTGCCTGCGCGAGAGCTCGGCAGGTAGGTGCTCGGCTGTCCGAAGAGCTGAGCGCTGCCGTGTGCACGCTTGAAGTACAGCTGAGCGTCGTGCTCCCAGGTGATTGCGATTCCGCCGTGCAACTGAACTGCTTCGGAGGTGATCTGCTGCAAGGCTTCCGAGCAGTACACCTTCGCTACCGCCGCGTCGTCCGCCGACTGCGTCGCCACGGCGGCGTACGTCATCGACCGCGCCGTCTCGACCAACGTGTACATGTCGGCCATCCGATGCTTGAGGGCCTGGAAAGAACCGATCGCGCGACCGAACTGCTTGCGCGACTTGGTGTATTCCACGGTCTGTTCGACGATCGCTGCGGCCGCTCCGACCTGTTCAGCGGACAACGCGATCAGAACGACGGTTCGGATGCGATCGACCAGATCTTCGGACCACTCCAGTGGCCGACCACGAACACCGGAGAACGTGACCTCCGCCAGCGTTCGCGTCGGATCCATGGTGGGGACGCGTCGGCGGGAACGCCCTCGGCCGCGGGATCCACTTCGTAGAAGCCGTCGGCCGTGAGAACGAGCAGGGTGTCTCGCAATGTGTCCGTCGAGGACGTACGACGCCATACCGATCAACGCATCCTCGGTTGCCTCGACGCCGAAGGTGCTCCAACCCGCAGCCCCTGCCCAGCACAGGGCGAGCGTGCTCTCTCCGGACGCGACACCGGGCAGCAGTCGCGAGCATGCGTCGTCGTCACCGGAAAGCAGCAGTGCCTGTGCGGCAAGAATCGCCGAACCCAGCATCGGTGAGGGGCCAGCGCGGCCCAGTTCCTCCTGGACCACATGTACTCGCCCAAACCCTGCTCCGACGCCGTCTGAACCTCCGGAATCGCTAGCGCGGCGACGCCGATCTGCTCGCGTCAGCTTGCTCCACAACGCGGCGTCGTAGCCGATCTCGGTGGTGATGGCAGCGCGGACGGCAGCGGAGTCGGAATATGCTTGCTCAGGAGATCGCGTACCGACGCACGTGAGAAGCCGCCTCGGTCTTCGGTGTCGATGCTCATGATGTGACCAGCAGCTTCGATCGACGCGCGCACGATGCTCGGACGGTAGCCCCAGGCGGTGAGCAATGCTTGTACCTTGGTGAGCCACAGTGAGAGATCGTGTTCCATCGTGTAGCCGATGGCGCCGTGAACCTGGAGTCCGGACGCGGGCGGCCTTGTAGGCAAAGTATCCCCGCACGCGACCTTGGCGGCGGAAATGTCACGCGAGGCGTCGGCCGACTGATCGCGAACCGACAGAGCGGCACCGTGGAGCAGGGGCGAGCTATTTCCTTTGAGCGAAACGGGCAACTTCTGCCAGGTGGTGCTTCATTGCCCGGAACCGTCCGATGACCTTGCCGAACCGCTTGCGCTGCTTCGCGTATTCGGTGGTGACCTCGAAAGCAGTGTCTGGTCGAGACCTTGCAAACTGCGCGGCAGTGGCAAGAGCGCCCATGTCGAAGGCTGCGGAGAAGTCGGCGAGCCCAGCGATTCGCCGGCGGAAACCTCGTAGAGCTTGCGGAGAGATCCACCGATGCCTTGGCTTCGCCAGGGACGCCGAGTGAGACGGTGCCGTCCTGCGCGAGTAGAACCAGATCGACCGGATTAAGATGTCGAGCGGAACGGTGTGGCGGTGGGGGAGCGGGCGACGGTTGCCAGCGGAACCTCGGCGAGAGCAGAGCAGGTGCCTGGTGCAAACGGAAGCCAGGAGCGTCGGTGCTACTTCGTGATGGTCTCGACGACCGGTCCGGGTACTGCGTGCTGACCGAGCTGTTCGAGTGCAACGATCCAGGTCCACGGCGTCGGCGCCGAGTCACCGTCGTGTTCTTCGGATATGACGAGGCCGTTGACGCCGGTCTCGGCAAGGCGCTGCCAGAGCTTCGCCGGCTCCGGTGTCAGCTCGTCGTTCCACGAACGGATGACGGAGGGCATGTCGGACTTGGTCAGCAGTGCATCGATGCTTGCAGCGAAGTCCTGGTGGGAGGAGTCGAGCGCGAATCTCATCGGTCCGTCCTTCGGTAGGCCGAGCAGACGCTCAGCGATGACGTTTTTCTTGAATCTCTGTTGGTGCTCTGCGTAGATCGGGCCGGGACAGGGAGAACAGGGTATCCGTCCATCCAGTTGTCGGCCACGCCGGCTTCAGGGCCCTGCAGTTCGAGAGCAGTCTCGTGGGTGGCGATATCCTGCCTCGGACCAGACAGATCCTTTGTTGATCGAGGACCTCGGCGTCGAGCTGTTCAACGTCGGCGAGACGGGTGACGGTACCGAATGTGCTGGAGCCGGTAGGCGCGAGCGCCGATCCAGGCGTCGGCAACCTGGTTACGCAGAGCGCTGTCGTCGGTTCGTCCGCTGGACTTGTACAGCCTCGAAAGCAGTCGGTCGACGGTGGCGAGGAAGCGGGCCGGGGCTGCGCAAAGAGAGACCACGCTCGTTGCTCTGCGGTGCTCACGCGACGCGCCAACCTTCGCCGACGCTGCCGATCACAAACCCGACTCACCAGGGCTGGCCGGGCTCGTCCGGCACGAAGACGTCTCGAGGAAGATCTCGGCGAAGCTGGGCTTGCCGTCGAGTTGATCGATCGGGCGAACGGTGACGCCCTTCGAGCGCAGGTCGAACATGAAATACGTGATGCCCTGGTGGCGCTGCGCATCCGGATCGGAGCGGAACAAGCCGAAGCCCCAGTCGGCGTAGTTGCGCGTGAGCTCCACGTCTTCTGACCGTTGAGCAGCCAGCCCCCGTCGACCTTCTTCGCACTCGAACGCAGGCTCGCGAGGTCGGAACCGGATTCGGGCTCGGACCAGGCCTGGGCCCAGATGTCGTCGGCACGAGCCATGCGCGGCATGATGCGAGCTAACTGCTCGGCATTTGCATGCTCGAACAGTGTGGGAGCCAACAAGAAGATGCCGTTCTGGCTTACGCGCCCGGGCGCGCCAGAGCGGTAATACTCCTCCTCGAAGATGACCCATTCGAGCAGGGACGCATCGCGTCCGCCGAGTTCCTTGGGCCAGGACACGACGGCGTAGCCGGCGTCGGCGAGAGTGTGCTCCCACTGACGGTGCTCTTCGAAGCCTTGGCGGTATCCATCGACTTCAGGGGAGTGTCGGGCACATTCGCCTCCAGGAACGAGCGGACCTCGGTCACGGAATGCGGTTGTGGCGTCGTCGAATACGAGATCCACTAGTTTGTTCCTTCCTGCGGTGCGCGAGCACTGGCAGCCAGCGGCTTTGGCGTCGAGACCAACCAAGCGAGTCTTTGCCGACCTCGGCGTTGTGAGCGTGAGCGAAGTGATGCAGACCGAAGACGGAGTCGATGCCGTTACGCATCCCCATCTGATCCTCGCACTGGTTGACGGCCTTCTTGGTCAAAGCCAGTCCGAAGCGCGGCATCTTCGGCGATACGCCCGGCGAGCTCGAACGTCTCCTTCTCGAGATCCTTGCGGGCGACGACGCGATTGACCATGCCGATTTCGTAGGCGCGTTGCGCGGTGAATCGATCGCCGGTGAAGAGCATTTCCTTCGCGAAACGTGAACCGACCATCCACGGGTGCGCGAAGTATTCGACGCCGGGGATGCCCATGCGGACAACGGGATCGGAGAAGAAGGCGTCGTCGGCCGCGACGATCATGTCGCAGACCCAGGCGAGCATGAGCCCACCGGCTATGCAGGCGCCTTGGACCATCGCGATGGTGGGCTTGGGGATCTCCCGCCAACGGCGGCACATGCCCAGGTAGACCTCCATCTCGCGGGCGAAACGCTGGTCACCGCCTGGCTTGTCGACGTGATCCCACCACATGGTGGCCTTGTTCTCGTACTCGACGTGATGGTCGCGTCCCGGAGTTCCCAGGTCGTGTCCGGCGCTGAAGTGAGGTCCGTTGCCTGCCAGGACGATCACCTTCACGTCGTCGTCCTCGACGGCGCGCTGGAATGCCGCGTCGAGGGCGTACGTGACCACCGAGTTCTGGGCGTTGCGGTAGTCGGGTCGATTCAAGGTCACGACGGCGACCGAGTCACGAACCTCGTAGGTCACGACGTCGGCTTCGAAGGAACGGTCATGATTGTTCCTCGCGCAGAACCGTTTTGAGGACCTTGCCCGAGGGGTTACGGGCAGGTGATCTACGAAGCGCACCTCGCGGGGCACCTTGAAGCCTGCGATCTTCCTTGAGGAAAGCGATCACCGACTCTTCGGCGAGGCCGGCACCGTCGAGTTGGGCGATGTAGACGCGGGCCCACCTCCCCATCCGGTGATCGGGGATGCCGATGGCAGCAGACTCGTGGACGCCGGGCAGGCGAGCCAACATGCCCTCGATCTCGGCGGGGTAGACGCTGAATCCGCCGCTGACGTACATGTCTTTCAGGCGGTCGGTGATGTCGAGATAGCCACGCTCGTCGAGGGTTCCGACGTCTCCGGTGTGCAACCAGCCGTCGGCGTCGATTGCCTTGGCGGTGGATTCGGGGTCGTCGAGGTATCCGAGCATGACGTTCGGTCCACGAAGCAGGATCTCACCCTGGTCGCCGATCTTGACTCGAAATCGGCTGTCGCGCGGCCGGAACTGGTGGAGACGGTGACCGGGTCGTCGTCGGTGCGGCACATGGTCGCGACCACTGCCCGGTCAGACCGTATGCCGTGAGGACGGCGTCGAAAAGCTCTGCCTGCATGCGCTCGACGAGAGCAACCGGCACGGGTGCTGCGCCGGTGATCGCGATGCGGAGCGAGGACAGGTCGTATTCGCTGCGGCGGGGGTGATCGAGAATGGTCTGGTAGATCGTCGGGGCACCGGGCAGGATGCTGATCTTTTCGCTGTTGACCAGCGCGAGGGTGTCGTCGATGTTGAAGACGGACACCGGCACGATCGTCGCGCCGTTCAGCAGGCAGACCAGGATTCCGGCCTTGTACCCGAAGGTGTGGAAGAACGGGCTGATGATGAGGAAGTTGTCGTCGGTGGTGACCTCGGCGCATTCACCCCACGACTTGGCGACAGCGATGGACTGACGATGCGCGGTGATCGCGCCCTTGCTGCGTCCCGTGGTGCCGGAGGTGAAGAGGATGTCGCTGACGTCGTCTGGCTGCACCTTCGCAGCACGCGCGTCGGCTTCGGTGCGGGCGGCGTCGGTGGCGAGTGCGAGGAAGTCCTCGAACTCGATGACGCCGTCGCGGTCGTCGTCCCCGTCGATCGGTACCTGGATGACGGTGGGGATCGACAGGTCCGGGTTGGCGTCGAGCAACTGCTGATAGCGATCGGCCTTGAGGAACGTGCCGACGACCACCAAGGCCGCGGCGTCGACGCGCTCGATGATGTCGAGAGCTTCGGTGCCGGTGTATCGAGTGTTGATCGGGATGATGGCCGCGCCGGCATATTGAGCGCCGAGCAGGCGATCACCCAGTGATACGTGTTGGGCGACCAGATGACGACGCGATCGCCCGCCTTCACCCCACGGTTGATCAGCGCGCCGGCGAAATCGCGGACACGTTGATGTAGCTGTGCGAAGGTCAGTCGGGTGTCGCCATCGGCGATAGCCGCGCGCTCACCGAACTCCTCGGCGGCCCGGATGAGGGCTGATGGGATGGTTCTCGGTTGTTCGGTCACTGGACTCCTACCTGACACGCTACCTAGCAAGTGCTTGGTAGGTTATCTTACATATGTGGACCAGAGCGAGAGCCCGGACGGGCAGATGACGGACGACGAGTTTGCGGCCACGGTCGCGCAGTGGTTGGCCGAGAACTTGACGGGCAAATTTGCCCAGCTCAAGGGTAAGGGCGGCCCCGGCAGTGAGCACGAGTTCTTCGAGCAACGACTCGAGTGGGACAAGCACCTCGCAGCCGCAGGGTGGACGTGCCTCGGGTGGCCGAAGGAGTTCGGCGGGCGGGGAGCAAGCATCTCTCAGCAGGTCATCTTCCATCAGGAGTACGCGAAGGCCGGTGCGCCCGCTCGCGTCAGCCACATCGGTGAAGAGTTGCTCGGCCCGGACGCTGATCGCGTACGGAACCGACGAGCAGAAGCGCCGATTCCTTCCTGGAATCAACACGGTCAGCGAACTGTGGTCGCAGGGCTACTCCGAGCCTGGCGCCGGTTCAGACCTCGCGAACGTCTCCACCACCGCACGCCTCGAAGACGGCAAGTGGATCATCAACGGCCAGAAGGTGTGGACCTCACTGGCTCACGTCGCGCAGTGGTGCTTCGTGGTCTGCCGCACCGAGGTGGGCTCCAAGCGTCATCAGGGCTTGAGCTTCCTGCTGGTCCCGTTGGATCAGCCTGGTGTGACAGTTCGGCCCATCCAGCAGCTCACCCGGTACGTCGGAGTTCAACGAGGTCTTCTTCGACGACGCCGTCACCGACGCCGATCTGGTGGTCGGGGAACCTGGCGAGGGCTGGAAGATCGCGATGGGGCTGCTCACCTTCGAGCGCAGGGGTATCGACGCTCGGACAGCAGATCGGATTCGCTCGCGAGCTCCAGGGCGTCGTCGACCTGGCGAAGGCCAATGGCAGTGACCAGGATCCGCACATTCGCGAGAAGATCGCTCGTGCCTGGGTCGGACTGCGTGTGATGCGCGCCCACGCGATGCGTACTCTCGACGCGGTCGACGCCGGAACCGGTGGCGGAGAAGCGTCCGTCGCAAAACTGTTGTGGGCCAACTGGCATCGTGACCTGGGGACAGCTGGCGATGGACGTGCAGGGTGCGTCGTCGTTGGTTGCACCGTGGGCGGATTCCGAAGGCAATGCCTCGGACATCACCGACCCCGAGCATCTCGAACTCGACGAGTGGCAGCGACTCTTCCTCTTCACCCGCGCCGACACGATTTACGGCGGTTCCAACGAAATTCAGCGCAACATCATTTCCGAGCGCGTGCTCGGTCTTCCCCGAGAGGCTCGTTAATGTCTGACACCAAAGCCGCGTCCCCGCTTTCCGTTGCGCCCGAGGAAATCCCCGGGCCACGGACTGCTCGTGGGCAAGAAGGCGATCATCACCGCCGCAGCCGGAACCGGCATCGGCTTCTACCGCGCGCCGGGTGCTTCTCGAGGGCGGCGACGTTCTCGTCTCCGACTTCCACGAGCGTCGGCTCGGCGAGACGGTGGAGAAGCTGAAGGCCGAGTTTCCCGGCCAGCAGGTCGAGTCCATCATCTGCGACGTCTCCAGCACCGAGCAGGTCGACGCGTTGTTCGTCGGCGCGGCCGAGAAGTTGGGACGTATCGACATCGTCGTCAACAACGCGGGCCTGGGCGGCGAGACACCCGTCGTCGACATGACGGACGATCAGTGGGATCGCGTTCTCGACATCACCCTCAACAGCACCTTCCGTTCGACGCGCCGCGCTGCGGTACTTCAAGAGCGTTCCCACGGCGGTGTTCTGGTGAACAACGCGTCCGTTCCCGGCTGGCGGGCGCAGCATTCCCAGGCTCACTACGCCGCAGCCAAGGCGGGCGTCAGCACTGACTCGGTGCAGCGCTATCGAAGCCGCGGAGTACGGAGTCCGTATCAACGCGGTCTCGCCCTCCATCGCGCGTCACGCGTTTTTGTGAAGGTCACCAGTGAGGAACTGCTCGACCAGTTGGCTCCGGCGAGGCCTACGGCCGCGCCGCGGAGGTCTGGGAGATCGCAACGGTCATCGCGATGCTCGCCAGCGATTACTCCACCTACATGACCGGCGAGATCGTCTCCGTTTCTTCGCAGAGGGTCTAGCGTCCCCGTGCGCGGTTAAGGAGTCCCCGGACTCGCTGACCGCGCACAGGGAAGGCCCTGGATAGGAATTGAATACATGACGCCACCTCGAAATTCCGACGAATCAAACGGCAAGTCCGGGCGCCGCGACGAGCTGCTCCGAGATCGCGGCGGGGCTGTTCGCCGATCGCGGAGTGCGCGCGACGACCGTCCGCGACATCGCCGACGCCGCCGGGATCCTGTCCGGCAGCCTGTATCACCATTTCGATTCCAAAGAGTCGATGGTCGACGAGATCCTGCACCAGTTCCTCGACGAACTCTTCGGAAAATACCGCGAGATCGTCGCGGCGGGGTTGGACAGTCGCGCGACGCTCGAAGCGCTGGTGGTGACTTCCTACGAGGCCATCGACGCCTCACATTCGGCTGTGGCGATCTACCAGGACGAGGTCAAGCACCTCGTCGGGAACGAGCGCTTCGCTTACCTGGCCGAGCGCAACACCGAATTCCGGGACCTGTGGGTCGGCGTCCTCGAAGCCGGCGTCGCGGACGGGACCTTCCGTTCCGACATCGACGTCGAGTTGGTCTTCCGATTCATGCGAGACACCGTGTGGGTCGCGGTTCGCTGGTACCGCCCGGGTGGATCCCTGTCGGCTCACGCCGTCGCGGCTCAATATCTCGCGATCGTGCTCGACGGGCTCTCCGATCCGGCTACAACTTCAGACGCTATTGCTGAATCAACTTCAAGAACTATTGCTGCACAACGAAACTAGGAGCTAACGCTATGTCCGAGGTTTACATCGTCGACGCCATTCGCACACCGATCGGCAAGAGGGGTGGCGCGCTGTCCGGCGTGCACCCCATCGATCTCGGTGCGCACGTCGTCAAGGCACTGGTCGAGCGCACCGGTATCGATCCCAGTGACGTCGACGACGTGATCTTCGGTTGCGTCGACGCCATCGGCGGCCAGGCCGGGCAACATCGCCCGTGATGTCCTGGCTCGCAGCGGGATTCCCGGAGCACGTTCCCGGGGTGACCGTTGACCGTCAGTGCGGTTCGAGCCAGCAGGCAGTGCACTTCGGCGCTCAGGCAATCCCTGTCGGGTACCGCGGATCTGATCGTTGCCGGCGGCGTTCAGAACATGAGCCAGATTCCGATCTCGGCAGCGATGATCGTCGGTCAGCAGTACGGATTCGACACGCCGACTTCGGGTTCGGTCGGTTGACCGAGCGCTACGGTGACCAGGAAGTCTCGCAGTTCAAGGGCGCCGAAATGATCGCCGAGAAGTGGGACATCAGCCGCGAAGAGCTCGGAAGTGGGCCCTGCAGAGCCATGAGCGCGCCAAGGCTGCAATCGCCGCGGGTCGCTTCGACAACGAGATCGTTGCCATGGGCGACGCGACTGTCGACGAAGGACCCCGCGAGACCAGCCTCGAAAAGATGGCGACGCTCAAGGTTCTCGTCGAAGACGGCCGCATGACTGCAGCGGTGGCCAGCCAGATCTCCGATGGTGCGAGTGCGCTGCCGCTGGCGTCGGCGGAAGCGGTGGAGAAGTACAACCTCAAGCCCCGTGCCCGGATTCATCACCTCAGCGCTCGCGGCGACGACCCGATCTTCATGCTCAGTGCGCCGATTCCGGCCACGAAGCATGCTCTCGCGAAGGCCGGTCTGAGCATCGAGGACATCGACATCGTCGAGATCAACGAAGCTTTTGCCCCGGTCGTCCTGGCCTGGATCAAGGAGATCGGCGCAGATCCGGCCAAGGTCAACGTCAACGGCGGCGCGATCGCACTCGGTCACCCGCTCGGCGCGACTGGCAACAAGCTGATGGCGACCCTGCTCAACGAACTCGAAGGCGCACCGGCGGTCGTTACGGCCTGCTGACCATCTGTGAAGGTGGCGGCACCGCAAACGCGACGATTATCGAGCGGCTCTGACGCCTTGCTGTGCCTTTATTAACCGCCGGCGGTTAATAAAGGCGCACAGCAGTTAGTTGTTCGGCGCATCCGCAACCTTGATGTCGAAGTTCGCACTTTCACCGTCAACGCTGGTCACGGTAGCTGTGACGTCGTATTCGGTGCCCTGCTCGGTCAGGATGCACGTGATCGATGCGCCGACTTCGCGTCGAGGTTCTCCGGACACGTCACGTCGTCAGGCGGCTCGCCGATCTTCTCGGCGAGCTGGAGTGGAGATCTGACTTGCGACTTCGGACTTGTCCACTTGCGGCGTCCCGACGCTTGCCGAGCAAGCTCCCGTGGCCAATGCCGCGGAGAGCAAGACGATTCCAACTGCAGGCCTCTTTGTCATGTGAACTCCCAGGGTGCGCCGGTGCTCGCTGCTGCCACCTCAGGGATTACCGCATTCGGGACTGTTCAACCGACTTACTGACGCCGTTTGCCGAGCTTCAGCGTCGGCGGACCGTCAAGTTGAAGCCTTCGGGCATCAGGTGAGCCGTTCGGCCACCTTCAACTCGTAGTCCGGATCGGCTTGATCGTATATTTCTGCAAGATGGTGCCCAACACGAGGACCGCTTCGTGAATGGCGAATTGTCTTCCGATGCAGGCGCGTTCACCTGTTCCGAACGGCTTGTACACGTGCGCCGGCCTGGCCTTGATGTTGGCAGGTAGGAAGCGATCCGGATCGAAAGCCTCGGGATCGTTGCCCCACACGGATCGCGATGAAGTGACGGGATGAGCACGAGCATCCAATCGCCCTTCTTCATCGGATACTTGCCGACGAGCGTGGTGTCTTCGAGCGCCGCACGGCTGTAGGCGGAGCGGTCGGCCACAGACGCAGCGATTCGTCGAGGACGCGTCGTACGTATCGAAGTTTCGCGATCTTCTCGAAGGCGGGCTCCTCGCCCTCCCAGACCCTTGTCGACCTCGGCTTGCGCCTTGGCCAGCACGTCAGGGTTTCGTGACAGGTAGTACAGCGCGAACGACAACGCGCCGGAGGTGGTTTCGTGTCCCGCGACGAGGAAGGTCACGACCTGATGGCGGATGTTCAGTTCGTCGATACGGTTGGGATCGTTTTCGCGTGCCGCCCGCAGCATCAGTTCGAGAAGATCTTCGGGCCCCGGTTCGGTACTTGTCCGCCGGGCACGGATCACCTCGTCCACAACCTCGGCCATGTACGCCTTGCGGACCTCGTCACGTTGATCGGCCCGACGTGCGAGGATCTCGCCCCAGGGCCGTCGACTTCAAGAACGTCGTGCGTTGTGAATGGGAGAGGCGCCGACCATCGCCTTGACGAACGGGTGCTGTCTTCACGTTCGAAAGAGTCGAACGAGTAGCTGAATCCAGTGCGTCCGATGGTCTCCAACGTCAGCTTGGTCATGTCTGCCGAGACGTCGATGGGGAGTCGCTGTCGACTGTCCCAATCGATCGACCAGCTCGCCGGCCACGTCGAGCATGGTGCGGTGGTACGAGCGCATCGCAGTCTGGCTGAACGCCGGGGCCAGGAGATTGTGCGCCTTGCCCCAGTTGGGTTCGTGGTTGTACGCAGTGAACAGTCCGTCGCCGCCGATTCCGCGGAGTGCTTTGACTCCAGGGCGCAAGGTGCTTCGCGAACCGGGACTCGTCGGACAGTTCTGCCACCATGTCCGCGCCCGAGGCGAAGACGAAGCGATTTCCAGGACATTTCTCCTCGAAGATCGGGCCGAGTTCGCGCCCGATGCTCACGGAGTTCTGCAGCGGCGTCCGGATATTGATCCCGAGGACGTCCCCGAGGACTGGCAGGCGCCATGCCGGGATGCGGAATCCGGAGCATCGGTCGTCGCCTCTGGAGTGGTGTCGACGCTCATGGTGTGTCCCCGGTGAGATCGCTTACTGAATTGGTGTCTAGTACGCAAAGTACGCCTTACTGAATCGGTGTCAAGTAGTAATCTGACTTGTCTATGGTCGCACCACGAAAACGCCTGGACCGAGGCAGCGGCGCACGCAGTTGCTCGACATCGGCGCGCAACTTTTCGCCGATCGTTCGTACGAGGACGTCTGGATCGAAGAGGTCGCCGAGATTGCGGGCGTCTCGCGCGGGTTGATGTACCACTACTTCCCGACCAAGCGAGACTTCTTCGCCGCAATCGTCGAGCGCGAATCGCAGCACCTGCTCGAGGTGACCGCACCGGACGCGACGCTACCGGTGCGCGAACAGGTGGCAGCCGGGTTGGACGCCTACTTCGCGTACGTGAAGTCGCACAGCAGGGGAGTACGCGCCATCAACGTGGGGACGCTCTCCGCCGAGGCCGGTATCCGAGCTGATCGTCGAACGCGAACTCGAACAGCAGCAGATTCGAATCCTCGACGCACTGGAATTCGAGGGGGAAAGAAGACAGCTCGCTGCCGTCGCAGTTCGGGGATGGATCGCATTCGTCCGAGCTGTCTGCCTCGACTGGCTCGATCAACCTTCCATACCGCAGGAAGAGTTGAGAGTGATTTGTCTGCGGACCCTCTCCGGAGCGTTGGGCATCGACCTCGAAACGTGAAATGCCGACCGCGTGGGAGCGGCCGGCATTTCCACGGACAAGTCTGATCAGTCGAGCGTCGAATAGAGATCGTCCCAGCCCTTGGCTACGTACATGTTGGTGTAGATGGATCCGTAGTACGTACTGCCGTGCAGAACGGTGACGTTCCCGGCCTGCACAGCCGGAAGTCGTTGCCACAACTTGTTGTCCGAGAGCTGATCGAACGTGGTGTCGCTGCTGTCGGTGACGGATACCATGAACGCGTCGCAATCGCGAAGGCGATCCATCTCCTCGATGCTCAGTCGCCCCTGATTGTCGAAACCGGTTGTGTTCAATGTTCTTCCACCGATGTCAGCGAGCGTCATGTCGGTGGGCTGGCGATTCTTCTTACCGGTTTCCTCCGACACGGGCAGGCTGTCGATGTAGATCGTGGCCTTGTCCGGACTGTAGGACAAACTCGCGACGGTCTTTCCCGCGATCGCCGAAGCGTGTCGAGAGCGGATGTCGGTGATCAGAGCGTCGTAGTCGGTGATCAGGCGATCCATGGTGGGTGTTCGGCCCAACCAATCGGAGAGTCGCGTGAGATTTTCTCGCCACGTCTGCTTCGATTCGGTTGTCAGGACAGGAGCGATGGCTTGGAGTTTTTGCAGCGGGCCAGTACTCGTTGTCGGCGTTGACGCAGATGATGAGATCGGGTGCGAGTCCGAGGATCTGCTCCAGATTGGGCTTGTCGCTGAGGTATTCGGCCGAACCGTCGACGGGAACCCACTCGGTGGCGGGCGAGATGTTGTATCCGAAGACCTGTAGCTCCAGGGCAATAGCGAGCTCGAGGTCGGTGCGTGCGTCGACGGCCAAGACCCGCTTGGGGTTGGTCGGTATGTCGTAAGTTCCCAACGGTGTGGTGACGGTGCGCATTTGAGTGTCGTCAGATGTACCCGAACCGTCACTCGAACTGCAGGACGACAGAAGTGTTGCTACTGCTGCCATCCCGGCCCGATGCCGAATTTGCGACGGGTCAGTGCGTCGACTAGCTCTTGCCAGGCGCGTTCGTCCAGCACGGTAGGTGTGGTGGTCAGCATTTTTCGATACCCTTCGGTCTGAGTCCGTGTCGATCGTAGGGTCGGCGATACCAGATCACCTATATCGAAAACCGCCTGATATTAGTCGATTTCGGCCATTGTCCGTGACTTGCGGGTGATCGTTGCGCCGAAGGCGGCGGCGAGCGGGAACATGAGAACGCCGTACACCGCAGCCGGCACTGCCAATTGCACGTTGCCGAGGAGACTGACGGCGATGGTGATCGCCAACGTGCTGTTGTGATGCCGATTTCCATGGAACTGGCGATGGCCTGACGATCCTCGATACCGAAGATGCGGGGAACGATGTAACCGATCGAGAGGCTCAGCAGGCAGAACAAGGCAGCAACGACGCCGATGTCGACGAGATAGTCCGCGATGTTCTCGCGCTCGGAAATAACCGTTCCGACGATCACCAGTGCCAGAACCACCGCAGATCCGATGCGGACGGGCTTGTCCATCCGCTCGGCAAAGGCGCTCGAGCGCAACCGAACCCACATTCCGAGGGCGACAGGAATCAATACGACGGCAAAGACCTGAAGCACCTTCGTGAACTGAAGCCCGAGGGTGCCGTCCGCGTCCTCGGGTTCGAAGTAACCCAACGCGAAGTTGGTGATCAGGGGAGAGTGACCACCGCTATCACCGAATTGACCGCTGTCAGTGTCACATTGAGAGCAACATCGCCGCGGAACAGATGGCTGAACAGGTTTGCCGTCGTGCCGCCCGGTGATGCGGCGAGGAGCATCATGCCGACCGCGAGCAGTGGGTCGAGGTCGAACAACGTGACCAATCCGAAGGCCGCGGCCGGGAGCAACAACAACTGACAGATCAGGGCGATCGAAACGGCCTTCGGCGCTTTTGCCACGCGGGCGAAATCTCCGACTGTCAGGGAAAGCCCGAGGCCGAACATGATGATGGCGAGTGCGGCGGGTAGGCCGACGGAGGTGAGTGCAGAGTCCATGAGTTAGTGGCTACTTCCAGTCACTGGGGAATTTCACTGAAACTACCGTGATGCCCGGATCTGCGTGGCAGTTTGGATACATTGGTGTATCGAACCGTGACGGCGTCGGTGAGCAGGGTTATCGTCGAATTCATGTGCCGAAACATCACTGAACTTCGTGGACTCGAGCCCGCTGCTACGCCCGAGGAGATCGAGGCCGCCTCTCGCCAATACGTACGTAAGGTGAGTGGAATAGCCAAGGTGTCCGACGCGAACCGAGACGCTTTCGAACAGGCGGTGCGTGAGGTGACCGAAACGACGACGCGCCTGCTCAGCGCATTGCCGCCTCGCAGACAGCCACCCAGACCGTCCCGCCGTTGCGTCGTCCGGAAGTGCAGGCGCGGATCGCTGCTCGTTCGTCCTGACCCGAGTGGATCTCACAGATATCGACATATGGGACGTCGAACCGTTGGATCAGCTGTCAGCTGGGCTGGAGGGCGTTCTGGTCGCTCATCGTGTCCGCGACATCCGGCGACGGCTGGATACGCTGCGCAAAGAGGCCGTCGCCGACGACTTGCATATTCGTCAGGACGGAACCGTTTCTGCCGTTGCGCCCATCGCCGACGGTCACCCGCTCCACGTGCATGCCCAGTTGCTCGAGATCGCGGTGCGAGAACTGATCGGTGAGGCACTGCTGGTCAGCGCGGATCTTCATCATGCGTTGTCTCTGCGGTCTCAGGTCGGCACCGACCTCCGTGACAAAGCTGTGCGTGTGGGGGAGGAGTGGCGAGCGTTCAGCCCTGATCGGCAGCGTCAGATGTTGCGTCATGCACCCGGCCTGATCGCCAACCTCGATGGAATTCCTTCTGCGGTTCGCAGTCCTGCCAATCTCGATCGAATTCAATCGGAACGAGCACGGCTGCAAGATGATTCAGTCCGAATCTCGCAAGAACTCCACCGTGAGTTCTTCGGCGGCAGACTGAGTAACACAGGGGCGGGCCAGTGGTACGCCGAACGCAAACTCGAGGATCTGGACGCGCTCGACGAGTTGTTTCGCACCGAAACTTGTCGACGGTTACTGCTCATGGACATGCGCTCGGGTGAACGCGGCTTCGCGGCATCGCGATCGGTGATCCGGACACAGCGGATCACATCTCCGTGACGATTCCCGGACTGAACACCAACGTCAAGGACTCGATGCGCGGAATGGTCGGCGAGGCAACACGATTGCGAGCCGAGGCGATGCGCCAACTCGAACTGGCCGGCCGAAAGGAGAGCGTGGCCACCATCGCCTGGATCGGATACGACGCGCCACAGGTGATCGGGCCGGGAAAGTTCGACATCGGTCGGGCCAGCTTCGACGTAAGTCGATCGTCCAAGGCAGGCATAGCCGCCGACGCATTGGGTAGCTTCTTTCACGGTCTTCGTGCTGCGTCGGTCAACGACCGAGTCCATATCACCGCGTTGGGTCACTCCTACGGATCGCTTGCGACTTCTCTCTTGCGCTGCAACGCGGGGCAAGCGCAGCGGTCGACGACGTGGTGTTCTACGGTTCACCCGGCGTGCGGGCCAAGGTGGAGTCGGACCTCGGTATCGCCGACCGCCACGTCTACGTCATGAAAGCGGAAGGCGACAGTATCGCAGGGGTTCGGCCGTTTCGGTGGCGATCCGACGCGCACCGAGTTCCACCGATTGTCCACGGCCGAGGGGATCACCCCGGACGGTGTCAAGCACGAGCGGGCTTTCGGTCATGCGGAGTACGCGAGAACCGGGGACAACGGAGAGACTGCGGATGTCGGGTTACAACCTCGCGGTTGTGGTTGCCGGACTGCCGGAGTTGGCCGTTGTGGCCTGACCTGCTGACTTGCTCTACCGATTCATCGCACCCGGGGGCGGGCTGACGGTCTGGTGTCCTCCGGGCGGAGGCTTGGAAGGAGACGAAACCCGCCCGAGGGCGCTCGCGCGCGAATTGGACGAGGAGATCGGCTTGCGTGACTACGGGGCCGCCACCCATGTGTGGCATGAGGAGATCCATGATCCGACGATATTGCCGGGTTGGGACGGTGCGATCAACGACTACTTCCTCGTGCCGGTAGCGGCCGCACAATGGTCGAGAAGTGTTCGGGCCACGCGATTTACCCGACCGGTTTGCACGCCTGGTCAAGGATGGATCACCGAGTTCGCTGGAACAGTTTGTTCGGGCACCATGAGGGCCGCGAGGCATCGCCGTATTCGAGCATTTCGGCATCGAAACACGGCTAAGCTGAGGTTATGGAGCACTACGTGCGCGAAGGAGCCTATCCCGTACGCGTCTACGGCTGCGCCGGTCAGTTCTCACAACCGGTTGGCAAGAACGGCCCAAAATTGTGGATGGCTCTCCGAGGGCTGATGCGTGATCGGAAGGCGAGTCAGTACACCTCGCTCGCACCGCGTCATCCCGACGGATCACGTACCGCCGTAATGTCTTTCAACAGCAGCGGCGGAGGGGCTGGATCGGGCGGGGCATGAAGGTCGCTAGTACGACGCTGCCCGGGGTCCGTCGAATTCTCGACGAACACCGGGCAGTGACGCACTACGGCTGGGCTCAGCGGAGGTACTGTCCGCAAACCGGCCACGCGCCGGCACCCTGACCGGCAAGGACGTTTTCCGCGACGCGGACCTGTTCTGCCTGGCTGGCGTTGGCGGCACTGCCGGCTCCGCCGTAGGCTTCCACGTGCTCTGTGCTGAACTGGAGGCCGCCGTAGTAGCCGTTTCCGGTGTTCGCGGCCCAGTTGCCCGAAGATTCGCATTCTGCGACACCCGACCAGTCGTGGGTGGCTGCGGATGCGGTGCCGGCGCTCAGTCCGAGGGCTCCGGCTGCGAGGAGCTCCGGCTGCGGCGACAGAGGCAAGGGCACGGGTAACGGTGGTCTTGGTCATTTTGGTAAATCCTCCGAGTCCCGCCGACGGAGGACGGTGACCGTCTCAGCTCCGCTCCCACCACTAGGAATGTTGTCGAGTCCGAACCGCGGGTGGGACGGGCGGTGGCGATTCGGTAATGCCCGGTTGATCGGGCTGTCACCAACCATAAGAGATGATTACGGATTGGTCACGGGTCGGCGTGTTGACGCATGTTTGTGCAACAGAAATGCATCAAAGAGTGTTTTCCCAGGTCGCGTGGCGATATGCCACCTCTCTGGCGTTACATAATCGAGATAAAGTGTGATGCAAGTCACTGGAAATGCGTCTTGATGGCGTCGGTATGTGGCGAATGTGGCGCCTCGATCGGCCGGTTTTGTCGATTTTCCGGCCCCAGTTCTGGTCACACAGGAGGCTGTGTCGAACCGCGATCTATTGTCGACCGACCGCCCCGATTTACCTGTAGGGGCAGCAGAATTGAAAACGAATTACGCGCTGCTGGCTCAGACGAGATTCTTGCTCGTCTTAATCCGACGACGAATGTCGCGCATCTGTATGGTGTTGCCGGCCTGACGAACGGAGCGTGGGATGAACCTGTTGACGAACGACACGAAAATGAAGAGGTGTTCGAACCGGCGGCGGTCGTCTTCGGTCCACTCGAGGTCGAGTTGGTCGCTGGTAGATCGGTGGAAGGAATCCGACCGTCAGGAACCGCAACAAGTTTCCGGAATGCCAGGCGTATCGGCCAAGCGATCATCTGTAGATTGACCAGGTCGATCAGATACTGCTTGGTGCGTTCGTCGATCACGACGCGTTCGCAACCGAGGTTCCAGTAGCGCTCGAAGTCTGCGCGTGTGGCCGGCCACATCTCTTCGGTGACCTGCAGTGTCGTTCCCAAAGTCGATGCGGACTGATAGAACGACTCCGCCTGTTCTTCCGACATCTTGCCGTGCAACAACTGATGACTGTCTTCGAAACCGATGAACAGGCAAGCAGCAACCCATAATTGGAGTTCGCGATTGAAGGCGTTGTACCTGACCGGGCTGTTCGCATCCGACTTCACATGTCGGTGTACCGAATTCACGGCCTCGCGGTAGGCCTTTCGCTCTTCCTCGTTGCCCAGGATCGCGACCGTCAGGTACTGCGTTGTGGTTCGTGCGCGCTTCCACGGATGCGCTGTCAGAGCACCAGATTCGACCTTGCTCTCCATGACGCCGTACGCCACCTCGGGCCAACCGGAGTTGCAGGATAACGTTGGCAGCGGCTCCGGCGAACGACCAGAAATCGAGTGCGTCGGTGATGTGTGCGGGTTTACGTGCCCACCGCCTACGCTCCGCCGTGATGGTGATGCGTGTCTGATCGGTCCGAAGAGACGACTCGGACTTTTCCGGAATCCAGATAGTGAGTGGGCATGGATCTTCCTCCGCGCGTGGTGAGTTACTTGGTCTCGACGTTGCTCACGAGCCACCGGTCGTCCGAGCGGACCAGGGACACGACCATGCGGTACTTCTGCGTGTTTCCCTCTGGCGCTGCGACATTCTTCGCTTGTTGGTCGACGAACACGAGCACCTTGGCCGACGAATTGTCCAGCGATTCGATGCCGACGTCTGTCGCCGTTGCGCTCGCCTGGCCTTGCCCCCCGGCGACGACTTCGCGCAGTGAATCGACCATCGTTCGGTAGGTGCCGGCAAACTCGTCGGTCGACATCGAGGCGATGCTGTCTTTGTTGGCATCGAGGTTCTGATAGTCGAAGGAGGACATGATGGTCGAGTAACCCCGCGCGGTGTCCAAAGCCTCCTGCCGCAGCGTGTCTTCCTGATTCGCCGAGTACATCTGGAATCCGAGCACCACCAATGCTGCGACCAGCGCTACCGCTATGAGTGAGATCAGTGCGTTGCGTGGCTCCTTGAGGCGGCGAAGTAGCGACGGAGAAGTCGGATGTTCGGCCACCTCGGCTTCAGCCTCGTCGAGAGTGCGTTGTCACCGTGTGCCATTTCCCAGTCCTTCCAACATCAATCTCCAGTAGTTCAGGGCGTCGACTCCGGTGGGGACGAGAATCGGATCTGCGACGACGGGCGGTCCGATCGGCGTACCGGGGACCGTCGAGTTCTGCAATCCGAGGTCGTTCGGGCGCGGAGCATTCTGTGCTCCGCGTTGGACGAGGTCGTCGGCGGGGGACAGTACATCGCCAGACTTGGACTGGTGGGAGACAGATCGCCGACCTCACGCCTAGGGGTGTCGTAGTTACAGACCGGCCCCTGTGTCGCAACCAAGGCAAAGTCGGCGCGATCGCCTTGACGATGGATGCCAGTTTGGCGAGACCTTCAGGAATCGTGACAAGCCCGGTTTCGAGGGCGTCTGTGCGGTCGGAGATGATCGGTGCGACAGTGACGAGATTGGCCAGGACCGCTCGAAAGTGTTGTGGTACTTGTCGAACAACTGTTGAGCGCTGTTCAGGGCGGCGGGCGAATGATCGGTGAGGTAGATCAGCACCGGAGCGTTGGATTCGAGTTGTTCGGTGAAGTTCTTGGCAGCCGCCATTCCTCGGACGAACGAATCCGATTGTGTCGCCATGGAGTCCACCAACGTGGAGGTTCGCGACAGCAGCGCGGCGAGTTCGGTCGACTGGTCGTTCAACTGCGCGGACATGGTCCCACCGTTGTCGATCATCGTCGCCAAGCTCGGGCCGAGCCCGTTGAACGAATTCCCCAGTTCGGTCCCGATGTCGCTGATCGCTTGCGGATCAATCCCTTCCAGGACACCGGACGCCTGAAGCATCAACTGGCTCATCTGGACCGGTTGCTGATCCGCGGGCATGGCGATTTCGTCGCCGTCCCGAAGATACGGGCCGTGGTCTGTGTTGGGATAGATGTCGACATTCTGAATTCGGCTGCGGTCCCCATCGTCACCTTGGCGACGCTGTCGGTAGGTATCTCGGTGTTGTCGTTGAGTGAGAGTTCCACCCGAGCCGAGCGGGTGCCTGCGTCGAGTTCGACTTCCTCACTTTCCCCACCTGTACGCCGCGATACGTGACGACCGTGCCCTTGGTCAGCCCCGAAGGCGTCGGACATGTTGGCGTGCAGCCGGATTTGGCCACCGAAACCCTGAGGGCCGACCACGTAGACGATTCCGAAAGGGATTACCACAGCAGCGATCAGAGCGAACAGGACAAGTTGAACAAGCGCAAGGCGACTCAACGCAGACCTCCTTGAAGTAGATCGGTGAGAGTTCCCGCCGGTGTGATCGATTGACCGGCCATCCCGCCGCTCCAGAGCTTGTCGATCGTTCCCGGAATATCCAGGGCGCCGTCGAAAACGAGGTAGTCACCTTGGACTGCACTGGTGAAGTTCTCGAGCAGTCCGTTCATATTCGCCAGTGTCTGACCGATCTCCGAATTGAACGAATCCAGAGTCCCGACAACGGTCGACGCATCGTGCAGCATCGCGTCGAGGCCGTCGGGTGACGAGTCGAGGATGGTGTTTGCGTTGGTGGCGAGCTGAACGGTCGAGTTCAGCAGGCTTGCAATCTGATCCTTCTGTCCCACGAGAATCGACACCACCTGTGGAACGGAATCGAGGTAGTTGTCGACGACGTCGCGTTGGCCGGCCAGTTGGGGAGACCGGGCAGCGAGGTCGACGGCCTCGTCGAACTCGCTGCGGTGACTGCTTGCCTCTGCCATGAGCGAGGTCAGGGTGTCGGTCAGAGAACGAACTTCACCGGAGCGCCCGGAAAACGCGGTGTTCAGCTCGCGCACCACGGTATCGAGTTGATCGATGCCGCTTCCGGTCAGAACCGTACCGAGCGTGGCAAGCGCACTTTCGACTTGCGGACCGATCTCGGTGCGAGACTCCGGAATTGTGTCGCCGTCGCTGAGCATCGAGCCGGACGGAACCTCCGGCACCAATAGTCTGATGGAACGGGTTGCCCAGTGCGGACGGGAGTTCGACGGATGCTTCGACGTTGTCCGGCAACGGCGTCGCGGCGTCCAGACTCAGCGTCACATCGGCTCCGACGACGTCGGCGGACAGCGCGGATACTCGGCCAATGACTTTCTGGCCGCTGCGGACGTCTGCCCCCAACACCAGGCCGTCGGCGCCGGCCAGCTGCAGCGCCACGTTGTACGCATCACCGTCGGCCGAACGACCCAGGGGTAGGTCTTGAATGCCTGCGCTACAGCCGCCGAAGGCGAACACGGCCACAGAACCCACACCGATGATCACGATACCGGCGACTATTCGAACCGATTGCCGCGTCAATTGCCACCTCCGGGGACGGCTCCGCCGGAAAATCGCGGAGGCGATTCGAAGCGGATCAGAAGTGCTGAGGGGGAAGGAAATCGGATTCGTGAACCCGGCTCCGGTACAGATCGGCAACTTGTAGGTGTCGCACAGCGGTTTCGCAACCGCGAACTGAGTCAATGCAGTCGAGACGTTGAGCCGAATGCGCCCGCGCTGATCAGGACCGATTGTCTGGGAGAGGTTCTGCATCATCAACGGCACAAGGTCCATGAACTCTGCGAGGCCGGGTTGTTTGGCAGCCAGAGTGTCACCGAGAACTCGCACGTTGTCGGTTATGGCACCGACATCATCGCCGTGAGTTGTCATGGAAACTGTTCAACTGGTCGAAGACCACCTGCAGATCCTGCAGAGGCTGTGAGATGTCCATGTTCTGGTTCGCCCACTGATCGCCCAATGTGCCGAGGTCACCGACAAGTTCGTCGAGGCTGACCTGCCTCGCGTCCAGAGCATTCATCAAGGTATTGAGATTGTCGACGGGGGCACCGATGTCTTCCGACCGAGCGCCAGACAACTCCGGTTGCCGTGCTGAGTTGCGAATTGCGGTGTTGAATTGATCGCCCTGACCCTGCCATCCGGCAGCGCCGCGGCTCACGAGATCGCCGAGATTGCCCCCATCCCCGGCAAATGCGTCCGGCCAAAGTGCTGACGCTTCCCATCAAGCCGTCGAAATCTATGGAGTGGGCACGTTCGATCGGAATCTGGTCGCCGTCTTTCAGCGTCTCTCCGCCGGTGTAAGCCGGGCCGAGTTCGATGTGGCGATCGCTGATCACCGATGGATTGGACATAGGCCGAGGCGTCGGCGGGCAGGTCCCGCGGAGTTGGGCATCGACATCGCTACTCGAACAGAAGTTCCGCGAGGTTCCACCGACGTGACCGTCCCGACGCGCCGACTCCGAGGACGGTGACCTGCTTCCCTCGTAGATTCCGCCGACGTAGCTGAAATCGGCGTAGACGGTCCTGGACTGATCCGTTCGTCCGAAGATGTACCAACCGGGGGTGCAATCGCCAGGGTCACGACCAGCATGGCCGTGACGGCTTTTCTTGTATTCACTTGCAGCCCTCCATGATGCCGAGCGCGCAGAGCAGATTGTCCGGGATCACGGCGGCCGGCGCGTTGACGTCGGTCAATTGCCGGTGCCGGTGGAATCGGTGACCGAACGCAGCGCGGAAGGAAGACGAGTCAACAGCAGGTCGATCTGATCTGCGTTGTTCTTCCGTGGTGGTGACCTCCGACGAGGTTGTCGGTCATGGCTCCAGAACTCGTCCTGACGATCGACGAAAGTGGTGGAGACTTCGAGATGATGATTGTCAGGTTGTCGACCAGCTGAGTCAGTGCGTCCTTGCGCATCGCAAGAGTACGAACGATCGTCTGAGCATTGGCCGCAGTACCGACTATCGAATCGGTTTGTGCCGCAGCCATGTCCGACAGCTCGCGGGACATGATGAGAATCTGGTCGATCTGTTCACTGTTCTGCGCGAAAGCCGCCGGGGCCGCCGCTGATTCCGGCCAGAGCCCGGCCCACCTGATCGGAATCAGTTGGAATCACCTGCGAAAGGGTGTTCATCATGGACTCCATCGCCCTGTAGGTCGACGCCGGTGGCCGCAGTGGTGGCATCACTGCTGACGTCGTCGAGGCTGTACGGCACGGTTGTGCAGGGAGAGCGGGATGACCCGCGCATCGGAGTCGGTCGACGACTCCGGCCGGCACGATCTCCAGGTAGCGCTTGCCAAGGACCGTCTTGAGCCTGACAGTCGCCGTGCTCTGGTTTCCCAAAGGCTGGTCCTTGTCCAAGCGGAAGTTGACTGGCGACGTGGTCGCCGGCAAGGTCGATCGAATCCACTCGGCCCGCGGGAACCCCGGCCACGTAAACCGGATCGGTGTCGGAAAGCCCGCTGGCATTGGCCAACTCCGCTGTGTATGCCGACGTGCGTACGTTGTACCAGAGCTTCGGAATGCCCGGCGGCGCCGAGTCCCACCACCAGAACGAAGATTCGAGACTACCCAGGGCGAGAGCGGTGCCGCTACCGCTGCGACGGCGATCCCCTTTGAACAGGAAGAGCATGATGCCGACGAACACGTCGATCAGCTTGACCAGGAACATCATTGAGCACACCGGCGAATGTGTCGGACCGAAGATGTTGGCTTCCATGTCGCCTGCCTTCAGAGTGAAATTGCACAGATACAGGCTGATGAAACTTCCGTAACTTCCGATCTGGTTGGCGGCGTCGGCGAACTGGGAAGGTTGACGAGAAGTTCTAGAACTCGTCGGTGCTCGCAATCCAACTCCGGTGACACTTTCGAGTTGTTGCACGGTCTGACCGAACGCGCCGTTCGACCCGGCCATGATCTGAGCCAACGACGGACAGTTCGGTTTCCCTGATCCAAGAACGAGACCAGTTGATCGTTCTGCCCACGACGGAAGTACTCAGATCGTTTCAAACCGTCCAGCGAACCGACCAATTCAGGTTGGCGTTCGTCGACGGAGGTGAGAACAGTGTTCATGTTCGTGAGTAGTTGTGCGAAGACGTCCTGACGGTCGACAAGGCCGGAGCTCATGGTTGCGATCTGGTCGAGGAGGGTGGTCATCGCCTGGCCCTGGCCGTTGAAGGTTTTTCGACAAAACTTCGCGTGAGCGTGTTCACCTGCTCGGGCTGCAGCGCGGCGAACAACGGTTTGAACCCGTTCATCAGTGCCGTCAAGTTGATCGGCGGTGTTGTCTGCCAGCGGTATCGTGTCACCTGGTTCGATCTGTCGTGCGGATACCGTTGTCGCGCTGTCGTCCTGCGTCAGTGCCAGATATCGAGCACCGAGCATGTCGCCGTAGCGCACGGCGGCACGGACATCCGACTCGGGGAATATTGCGACTCGATTTCGACGTCGACGATCGCCTGCCCGTGCCGCGCGTTGTCGGCAAAACGCAACCGAGTCCACGCGAGCCGGATACGCACACCGGATATCGTGACCGGGTTACCCGGGTTGAGGCCTTCGACATCGGTGAACTCGAACGAATACGAATCAGTGCTTCCGCGAAACCGGGACCGACAACGTGTTCGCCACGAACGACGCACAAGCGATGCCGGTGAGACAGAAGAGTGACAACCGAATTACCTGGCCAGGACGGATCTTCACGGGACGGTCACCTCATTTCCCCTGACCATCGGCCCAACATCAGTGTTGTTGCCGGGTTGGGGTGTCCGGAGCGTTCCGGCGAGCCGCCCAGTAGTTGATCTTCGGTATCGCAGCGTGGCCGCTTCGGCTTCGCCGCCCACGACCGGAGGGCACTGGCGGGTTGTGCAGGCGTCAGGTTGAGCCTGAACACTGCGCGCCGCGCGAGTCCCCGTACTGCGGGCAATCATCGCCCGTGTATGGGAGCGGTTCGGCGAACGTGGCAACTGCTGTGATGTCGAACTTACCGGTGGCGAAGACCCGCGCGCCCGCGGCGCCGAACGTACTGGCATTGGCGAGGGTGGAACGCAGTCCTCCGGGATTGGCCGCGGTGGTTGCGAGTATCTTTCCGGCGGAATCGATCACAGTGATGATGTTTCGGTTGTTCTCCACGACAAAATCGTCGACGGTAGCGGCGAAGACTGCGGCCGCGCCGATCGAGGACTCCGAGATTCGCTCTGTTGGCGACCATGTTGTTCGAGACGGTTGTGGCGGCTGCCAAGGTATCGAGAATGTCGGGGTCGCGCGGTCCAACGCGTCGACGACCGACTTGAATTCGGGTGTCGATTCGAGGAATTGGTGTGCGGCGGGTGTCAGTACGCCGGACGCGGCACTGAGATTGTCTATCGTGGTACCGATCTCGGCTCCGTTTCCGTCGAGTGCCTGGCCCAGCGCAGTCAGGGCTGTCTGCAACTTCTCGGGCTGCATCGCCGTGAGGACGCCCACAACTTGGTGTACACGTCGTAGAGCGCAACGGCTTCCGGGACCGTCGTCCATGTGGATCTCGTCTCCGTCCGACAGAGTCGTCTGGCCCTGCTCATTCGGACTGTCCACGAGCTGCATGTAGATGTCGCCGAAGAGCGTTCGCGGAACGACGCGGGCCACCACGTCGGCGGGAATCTTCGACGCGTCATCGGTCTGAATCTGCAACTGCACAACGGATTCGGCGGTGCCTGATTCGATTTCGCCGATTCGGCCGACGTTGACGCCGTGGTACCGAACTCGGAGCTTCACCGCTGATGAGACCGGCTGTGGCTGGAACAGCGACGAAGATGTCGGTGCTCTGCTCGAGGTTTCCCGAACCGCGTAGAACCATTGTCACAGCGGCGGCGACGGCTACCACTACGGCGATCGCGCCGCGAAGGGCGTACACGATCTTTGGTGTGTAGTGAGTCTGTCCACGGCTCAGACCCCATTCCCGGGATCCGGGCACGAGGCCCCACAGCGCGAAAGTCATCAGTACGTCGAGGATTCCGATCGCGAGGATCGCAGTACGGAGCGCGCGCCCGGCAGCCTGCCCGACGCCGGCCGGACCACCGGAGGCATAGTAGCCGTACGCGCAGTGAACCAGCGCGACAACAGCGGCGAACACCACGGCCTTGAGGCCCGAGTACAGGAGATCCTGCGGCGAGATCGCCAGATGGAAGAAGTAGTCGTAAGTACCTGCCGATGCACCGTTGAAGAACACGACGACCAGTCGGGTCGACAGGTAACTGGCGAGCAGCCCGATCATGTAGATCGGGATGACGCAGATCATGGCAGCGATCACCCGCGTACCCGCGAGGAAGGATGGATTCACCGCCATCGAGTCGAGGGCGTCGGTCGTCCGAGATGCGCATAGCCCCGATCTGGGCAGTGAAACCCGTTCCGACCTTGGCAGCCAACGCGATAGCGACGACAACAGGGGCAAGCTCACGGGTGTTCGCGACCGCAGACAGCATGCCCGAGAGCGAGGTCATCCCGACGAGTTCGAGGCCCCGGTGAGTCTCGACGCCCAACATCATTGCTGCGGCGAGCGACATCGCGAAGACGATCCCGATGGTGCCGCCGCCGGACAGCAAGGAGTTCGTGCCGAAGCTGACCTCGCTGATCTGACCGAGTACGTGCTTGCGGTACTTGGTGAGCGCAAAGGGATCGATGCGATGGTGCGGACGTAGAAAGTGACGTGCTGACCGGGGAGACGAGGCCGTCACCTGCGGTTCGCGAGGTCTGCTCGCTTGACGGGCTCGAACACGGAGATCGACGAGCGACATCAGAATTCACCGACTGCCGGGACGATTACGGTGTACAACGCGGACAACACTGTGTTCACGATGGAAGACGAGCGCGAACGCAATGACGACGGCCTCGTTGACTGCGTCGGCGCAACGCCGCGGGGGCCGCCTTTGCATGGAGACCTTTGAAAGTGGCCACCGAAGTCGAAGCGAGGCCGAAGATCGCGGCTTTCACCAAAGCCATGACGAAGTCGGACGATCGACCGTATTGGCTGAACGTTGCCATGAGCGTTCCGGCCGGAAGATGCTGCACGTAGATGTGGTACAGATAGCATGCGATCACTCCGCCGAAGGTCACCATCGAGCACAGTGCGAGAGACGATCACTGCCGCAACCAATCTCGGAGCTACCAGGCGTTCGGATCACATCGATGCCCATCACTTCTATCGGCATCGATCTCTTCGCGAATCTTTCGCGAACCAAGATCGGTGCAGATCGCCGACCCGGCAACACCGGCCATCATCAACGCGCACACCAGTGCTGCGGCCTGTCCGACGATGATGAATGCCACGACGGCGCCCGAGTAGCCACCGGCACCGATGCGGCCGGCCAGTTCGCCGACCGACACCGCGATGAAGACACCGATCGGAATCATGAGGGAGCAGCGACGGACCAGTGCTGACGCGACCGATGAAGAGCGTCTGAGTGACCGTCTCGTGCAACGAGAGAGTCGCCTGCGGAGGATTGCGGTGAACAGGCCGAACGAGTGCCTGCACCGAGAATCCGATCAGATAGCCCCTGCAACGCTACGTCTCGTACCGGGCCTGGGGCTGGTAGCTCGTACGTCATCTAATTGAATTCCTTTGCAGATCAACATGGTTCAGCACGAAAGTCGAACTGTTCGGACGCTGGCGGTCGAGTGAACTGCTTGTGAAGCATCTCACATATATGTGACGTGGCAAGCATTATGTGAACGAAAATTCTCGGGGAGTTTTTCGGTGTAACAGCGACGGTCAGCGTGTTGACGTGCCAATATGAGTTCTGTCGGGTGGTGTCCTCGGCTTAAGTTCATCGAAATTCCGGAAGCCGTCGTCCGATGTCCCGGTCGGGGAGAGAGGGGCCGCTTCGAGCGGTGACCCTACCCTGGTTTCGACCACAGGGCAAGGCTTTGTTAACGAGGATCTCTCGAGTTTCAGTGTCGATGATCGGGGCGATGCGGTTGACGGCAACCTGGAGTTAGAAGCTAGCAGCGTATATAGAACGTGGCTGCGTGAAATCTCGAAAGTCTCCGATGGCGGGAACCGATTATGATTATGCTCATTCGCAAAAGGATCGGTTTGGTGTTTGGTGGGGCTGAGAGAGGGGTGCGCGAGTGAGCCGAGACAGCAGTCTGTCGATGCGCAGACAGTTGACGAACAGACCTCGCGTGTAATCCTTCGAGCGGCGGGATCGGAGTCGGTCAGGCGACGTCCGAAGGACCGCAAGGCGAAGATCGCCGCTGCGGCTGCAATTGCGTTCAGCGAACGGGATGTCCTGCCGTAGGCGTCGAGGATATTGCGTCGTCCGTCGGTATTTCGGGTTCGGCACTCATCGGCATTTTCCGAACAAGTATGCGATGTTCCGCCACGCGGCACTGGAATTGACCGACGCGCTCGAGAGTGCACTCGATGCGGTCTCCGTCGCCGCCGATGCAACGACCGGGAGTGCCTCGCGAGGATTTGCTCGCTGTGATCCGAACGACGGTGCGTAATCGGCGCACAGCCGGGATCTACCGGTGGAGTCGGTTTCTCGACGCTGCCGATCGGAAATCGGTCCGACTCAGGCAGCTGCTGTCAATCGCCGAGTTGCACTGCATCTTTCACGCTCCGAACCGCCGGCGATACTCGTGCCGAAACCATCCTCACCTCAGCGATGTTCAGCGTGATCGGCAGCATCACCGCTCACAATCTGATACTGCCCCAACGTCGGATGGAGCAAGTTCTTCTCGACGCTTGTCTGTCGATCGAACACGGTGGGGAGTGCAATTACATCGCGGCGGTCGGAGCAAACTGTGTCGACGCGGTCGGTGACGACGAACAAGCGTGAACGTCTGCTGCGGGAAGCCGTGCGGCTCACTGATTCTCGCGATTACCACGACGTCAGTATCGAAGAGATCGCAGCCGCTGCGGGTTTGAACGCTTCCGGGATGTACCGCTACTTTCCGAGCAAAGCCGGAACTTCTCGGGCGGTGTTCTATCGAGCGGCAGACCGTCTGGACCTCGCGACGGCAGCGTGTTCGAGTCTGCGACGTCGCCGGAGGAAGCGCTGCGCGCACTGTCGGCGATGTACGTGGAGTTAGTCGTTTGCACAACATGAATTGATGTCGGTCTATTTTTCCGAGATGAACAACCTTCTGCCGGGACATCGAAGCGATCTGAAGAATCGGCAGAAGCTGTACGTGGTCGAGTGGGCGCGGATACTTCGCGAAATTCGCCCCGACCTTTCGGCGATAGAGGCGAAGTTCTGGTTCACGCTGCTTTGAACCTGGTCCCCGACATCGGACGCTTGATGAAGTTCGATGTTGCAGCAGAAACGCCTCCACACTTCAGACGTTCATGTCAGCAGTTCTCTTCGGCTGCCCGGCTTCGCCGCCCTGAACTTCTCGCCGCCCTGAACTTCTCGCCGCCCTGAAACTCTGTCGGACGGCGTGCGTAGTGTGGTCGGCTATGAGCGAAGTCGTGTCTCCTAGCAGCTGCCCGCCGAATAGCGCTCGCCGCTCAAGGGTTCGGCAAATCACACCCGGCAACGGTGACGCGGCGCAATCTGGTCAGCGTGATGGACCGGCTGCAGGTCTTGCAGATCGACTCGGTCAACGTTTTCGAACGCAGTCACTACCTGCCCGTTTATGCGCGACTGGGCGCCTACGACAAGTCCAGGCTTGATCAGCTGACCTTCTCCCCGGAGTCGGGGTACCTCGAATACTGGGGACACGAAGCGACGTTCCTGCCGGTGGACATGTGGCCACTCTTTCGTTGGCGCATGGACCAGTTTCGTGACAAAGCTTTGAGCGACAAGAACGGATGGGCGTCTGATCGGCGCGACTTCCTCGACTGGTTGCGCAACGAACTGCGTGAAAACGGTCCGATGGCGGCGAGCGAAGTCGAGCATGAAGCGAATACACGCCGCGGCCCGTGGTGGGGGTGGTCGGACGTGAAAGTCGGGCTGGAGACTCTGTTCCGGTGGGGCGAAGTGGTATCCGCGGGTCGCGCAGGATTCGAACGTCGATACGGCCTTGCCGAACACATGCTCGCGCCCGAGATCCTCGATGCGAGGATCGATCGATCGGACGCGATCCGTGAGCTGGTGCTGCGTGGTGTGAAGGCCCACGGACTCCGGTACGCTCGACGATATCGCCGACTACTTTCGGCTGCCGAGCGCTGAGGGCACGAATTGCCTTGCGTGAGATCGAAGACGCCGGCAATGTACGCAGTGTTTCGGTCGAGGGCTGGGAGCGTCGTGGCAGCCTCGCGAGGTATGGATTGATCCACAGGCAAAGCGTCCAAGGTCGATCCGAACCGAGGGCCCTGTTGTCGCCCTTCGATCCGGTAGTGTGGGCGCGCGATCGAGCGTTGCGGCTCTTCGACTTTCACTACCGGATCGAGATCTATACTCCCGCACACAAGCGGGTTCACGGCTACTATGTGCTCCCCGTGTTGATCGACGACAATATCTGCGCGCGAGTCGATCTCAAGAACGACCGACAGAACCGTCGGCTACTCGTGCGCGCTGCTTGGGCCGAGCCCACCGCCGATGCCGACACTGCACCGCGTCTGGCCGAGCTCCTTCGTAGAACCGCAATGTGGCAAGGCTGCGACACCGTAGTCGTGGAGAACAATGGAACATTGGCATCAGAGCTGGCCGCTGTGATGGCCGGCGACGAGGTGGATGCGGTGGGCGCGCGCTAGGTCAATCTGGAACGGTGAGTCTCCGTCGACTGCAGCTCGGTTGATGGAATCTCTGTAATGCCGAACAAGTTCCGGTGCGAATTTTCGGCGACGCCTTGTCTTCGCGATACTCCGAACACACGTTGTGCGGATCCGATCGCCATTGAGTCGAGGTATGTTGCCAGCTGTTCTTCTCGACGAGGACATATGTTCCACACCTCTCGCCAGTCCACTGGTTCCATGGTCACTGCGCTGCTCCTGCACGGCGTGCGAGGTTGTCTGCAACCTCCCTGTTTCCACACCTGCGATGGGTTTGCTTGTATCCATCTCGAATTCGAAGCGATCGATCATCTCGGGCGTGACGTCGGCGACGTCGACGTAGAACTGTTCGTACCACCGCCTCAGCTGGTAGACCGGACCGTCCTCGGTGCAGAGTAGTGGGTTGTCGATGCGGGTCTTGTTCTTCCAGATCTCGATGTCCTGTTCGAATCCGACGCTGATGTAACCGATCATCGCGTCAACGGTTTGGTCCGCTATCCCGGCGGGAAGTTCCATCGGTCTTCTTGACGGTGATGCCGTACATCAGGACAAACTTGTTCGGGCTGACCGGATAGTGGCAGTTGATCAAAACCGAATCCACCTTGAACGTTTTCGTACTGGTACACCAGATCATCGATCATGAACGACGGTCCGTGATAGGCGGCCACCGAGAAGTTCGAGACCAACTTCGGCACGTCGGGATCCGTCCAGGTCACGATGTCGTCGCGGTTGATACCGCTCTGCTCCTGGATGGCGACATGCCCCTCGAAGACGTTCTTGAAGTGCGTGGAAACGAAAAGTGCAACGTAGAAGAAGTGCGCCATGTCCACGACGTTGTCGACGATTTCTCGACAGTTGGTGTCGATGTACGATTGACTTCCATACCCAATCGGTCCATTCGTGGTCCGGAGTCCTTGATTATCGGTATGGCGACTTCGGCCGGAGGCGGATTGCCTTCGGGGTCATGCCAGACGAAGAGCAGTCCGTCTTGTTCGAGGTGGTCCAGGCGCGGGTTTTGGCAAGCGGTGGAACGCGGCGTGCATAGGGGATCGCGGTACATTTGCCGTTGCCGCCCCATCGCCAGTCGTGGAAGGGGCAGGCGACTGAATCGCCCTTGACCGTGCCCTGACTGAGGTCGCCGCCCATGTGACGGCAGTAGGCATCGAGGACCTTCAATTCGCCCTGGCTGTCGGCAAATACGACAAGCTGGTGCCGAAGGCCTCGATCGGATGTGGGTTCCCGTCGTGGAAATCCGTTGCAAGTCCGGGCGGCAGTGCCATCCGCGGGCAAAACGTTCGGGCGCAGCGCCCTCGTCGATCATGCGGATCTCGTCGACTTCCGCCGAGGTCCGTTGTGGTCGTCACGTCTGTGGTCAAAACGTCGTCCTTTGTTCAGTGATCTGTGTTGGCCACTGTGGTGAGGAGTTGGTCCAGGTTCAACGGGGGTAACCGGTGATCGGTATAGCTGCAGGTGGAGTGGCCAGGCAGGTTTGTCTCCCGCACGGTGGGAAATGCCCTGGCGGTTGCGTCCGGTGAAGGCCCAGATTTGCAGTCAGCAGAGCACGCCCAGCGCTGTCCTCTCGACGGGCGGATCACCGAAACGGAGACGCCATGTCGGTCGGACCGATCACAGAAGAGCCCATCCTTATGTCAACCCTCGACAGGTTGGCGATGGTGGTGGATTGCTTTCGTGACACGCCGCGGTTGACGCTGGGCGAGGTGGCCCGTCGAACCGGGATTCCGCGATCATCCGTGCACAGGATGCTTCTGAAGCTAGTGAGGATGGATTGGCTTCGCAGAGAAGGCCTGAGTACGAAATCGGCGACAAACTCGGCGATCTTGGGGGCAATCGTTGTATCGAAACAAGTTCGAGAGGGTGGTGGTGCCGTTGTTGTACAACCTGCACCTCGTCACTAATCAGGCCGTACATCTCCGGGGTCCCCGAGGGAAGCAACGTGCGATACCTTCAGAAGATCGGCAGCCAGGCGATACCTGACCTCCAGACAGGCGTCGGCTCTCGCATCCCGGCGCGATCCTCGGCAATCGGCAAGGCACTCTTTGGCAGCGGGCCGCCGTTCGACGGTCGCGCAGCATTCCGCAATAGCCAACCATCGGTACGGTGTCGTATTCGGTACGTGTACTTCGGGTCTCGGCTGCATCGGTGTGCGGGTGGGTGCGCTGGGTGAAGCGGAAGTCGGTCTGTCGATCAGCGGCCCCACTCGTTCGAGGCAAGATCGACGATCGACACGTTGCACCGGTACAGATGGCCGCGGTGGCAATCTCCCAGTATTTCGAGGTGCCGGGTGGTCGTCACCAGCAGACCGGTTAGCTCGAAATGGCAGAGTGCGCCTCCTCCGACTCCGCGTAAAGCGCAGTGGGGAGACGCACTCGGATGAATCTGCGTCAGCGAAGAGCCGCGAGCGCGTCGATACGCTTGGCCGCGTCCTCCATGATGTTCTCGATCAGTTCCCTTGCAGCTGGGCAGATCGTTGATCATTCCGACAACCTGACCCGAGGCAAGCACGCCGGCTTCCGTATTGCCCTCGACCAGACCGGCCTTGAGCAACATCGGGGTATTCGCCGCCATGATGATTTGCATCAGCGGTGCGGTCACCGGAGCGCTTCATCGCGATTCCGTCCTTGGCGAGGTTGACCACTTCATGCCGGTCATTGCCTTGAACTTCATGGCGTTCTTGGCGGCAGCGATCAAACCGGTTGCGTAGCTGGAACCTTCGGGCTGTTGACCAGGTCGGTGTTGAGTACACGATGAGGCATGCCGTCGACCTTGCGTGAGACCGTCGTATCCGTCAGTCCACGCTTGAGGTATTCCTGCTTGACGGAGTCCGGCACCGAAGAGTCGCTGGTGAGCAAGAAACGCGTCCCCATGGCGACACCGGCAGCGCCGTACGCCAACGCTGCGGCCAGCCCGCGGCCGTCGAAGAATCCGCCACCGGCGATGACCGGAATATCGACCGCGTCGAGAACCGAGGGGGAGAAGCAATGTCGTTGCCACACCGCCGGTGTGACCACCACCTTCGCCGCCCTGGACGATGACGGCGTCCGCGCCCCAAGATGCAACCTTGACCGCATGGCTTCGCGGCACCGATCGACGGTACGACGACGATGCCGTGGTCCTGGAGCTTGGTGATCAGTTCCTTCTTGGGAGCCAAGGCAAACGATCGCGACCTTGACGCCCTCACGGATCAGCAGGTCCGCGCGCTGCGGCGCGTCGGTGGCGTCGGCACGCATGTTGACACCGAACGGCTTGTCCGTGAGCTGCTTGTCTTCTTGATCGCGTGCTCGAGCTCGTCGTAGGTCATCGTGGCCCGGAGCCAGGATGCTGAGACCGCCCGCGTTGGCCGTCGCCGACGTCAGTGCTGGCCCGGAACCCAGCCCATGCCCGTCTGCACGATCGGGTACTCGACACCGACCAGTTCGGTCAGTGCTGTCTTCAGAGTGGGGTCATGCCGAGACCTCACGGTCCCGGAGGTTGCGCGGATCGAGGGTCTCGCGAATGAGTGGAGCTCTTCGGCGGTGGGGTCACTGGGTGATACCGGCCTCGGCGAGTCCGGCTACCTCGAACGAGGTGTTCTCGGCTTACCTCTTCGGCGGTGACGCCGGGATGGGAGGCTCAACGCGCGGAAGGTGTTTCCCGGTCCACCGAAGTCGAAGACACCGAGGTTGGCTGACAACGCGGGGATGTTCAGGTACTTGTATGCCGGGTTCTCGGATCGATCTGGTCGTAGCCGACACTGCACACCACGTCGACCTTGTCGACGAACACTCGCTTGGAGTGCTTGGGGGACGAAGTAGCTCGTCGCGTGGTTGATGGTGTTACCCGGGGCGCCGCACACCGAACATCTGACGCGTCGGCTGCTGAAGCGGGCCGAAGGCGGAGAGGTTCTGGTTGCCGTGGCGATCGAGCTGATTGGCGCCCATGACTACGTGGCGACGGCCCGAAGCGACGACGTCGAACACCTGCGGAAAGGCATCCATCCTTCGATGGGGCCCTTCGTTCCGACGGCCGGAGTGTCCTCGAGGATGAGGGCTTCACCATCGGTGATCAGCAGGTCGGGTTCGGTGGTGAGTCGAGCCAGGCGAGCACCGATGGTGGACGACGTGAGACATCGGGCTGGCCATGATTTCGCCTGCACCGGAGAAGATTTCAGCGCACGCGAGAACAACGTACTCTGCGCGGGTGACGGTGGATTCGCTCATTTTGCCTGCTCCTGCCTTTGATGGATCGGCAAGCTTCTTTACTGCGGCTTGGTAGTCCTCCTTCGCTGCCGGAGAGGAAGGTGTCGACGAACGTCTGCCACGACTCGGGGGTCTTGGCGGCCTCGGCGTAGTGACGCTGGAACTTCTCGTCGCGGCCGTAGCTTTCGCCCGCCAACGTGAAGTGGGCACCGTTCCAGGGGCCTCGACGACGGCGTCGACCATCATGCGGTTGAGCAGAAGATTCTGCAGTGGAACGGATTTGACCAGTTCCTCGGTCTCGACAATGCGTTCGACGGAGACGTAACGCTTTTCAGCGCCATGCAGTACAGGTCGTCGAAGTACGGGTCGACACCGTTGTACGCGGCATTGCCGTGCTTGTCACCAGATTGAGGTGAACGAACGACGCATCGAGGTTGAGTGCAGGCATCGCGATCAAGGTCTCAGGAACGGCCGTCGGCCTCGGGGTACGGGGAGGTGACGGTCTTGAGTTCGTCGCCCCAGAGTTACGAACGTCCGGAACCCAGGCCTGCGCGGATCGGGAAGGGAAGGCGAGCGGCAGCGGCTTCGAGTGCCGCACGACCATTCCCTCGTCCATCTCGCGGACTTCGATCTCACCGGCAGTGCGCGCCTTGGCAAACCACGGATCGTGGAACGGTGCGGAGTCCAGGACACGAAACCGTAGTACGCCTTCTTGACCTTGCCGGCCGAGCACAGCGGCCGAGATCCAGTCCGCCGTAAGTGACCACGGTCAGGTCCTTGATGTCCGAACGCAGAATCGCACGCACGAAGGCCATCGGCTTGCGGCGAGATCCCCAGCCGCCCAAGCCGATCGTCATTCCTTGCTGCGGAGCTCGCCGACTACCTCGTCGAGCGACTTCATCTTGTCACGCTTGCTAGCCATGTTTGTCTCAGCCTTCCTTCTGGGTTGCGTTCTCGCGCGGCTTGCCGGTGGCGACGAACTCGTCGCGGTGTTCGTCGGACACACCGAGGAGGTTGAGTTCGAAGGTGTAGCCCTGCTCGAGGCGGTAGCTGCCCTTGACGTCGACCGGGTCGATGCCGTTGATGGCTTCCTTGGCGCACCGGATGATGCGGGTGTCCTTCGCGGCGATCTTTGCGGCGATCTCGCGAGCGCACTCGTCGAGCTTCTCGCGCGGGACCACGTCGTAGACGCTGCCGAACTGTTTGAGTGTGTGGGCGTCGACGCTCTGTGCGGTGTAGTAGAGCGTGCGCATCATGTGTTGCGGCACCAGTCGTGAGAGGTGTGTGGCAGCGCCGGAGTGCGCCGCGGTCGACCTCGGGGAGGGAGAAGATCGCGTCGTCGGAAGCGACGATCACGTCCGCGTTGCCGACCAGTCCGATGCCACCGCCGATACAGAATCCGTTGACGGCCACGACGACGGGTACAGCGCGAGTCGTAGACGGCTGCGAAGGCCGCGGCGCAACCGCGGTTGGCGGCGACCAGTGCGTCGAATCCCTCGGTCGCCTGCATCTCCTTGATGTCGACGCCGGCGTTGAATCCGCGTCCCTCGGCTCCATGGATCACCACGTGAGTGTTGAGATCCTTGCCCGCGTCGAGGATGGCGTCGGCAAGCTCGAGACCATCCCTTGGACGGGATTGCATTGACCGGCGCGTAGTCGATGGTGACCGTGGTGATGCCGGTTCCGTCGGAGGAGGTGCTGATGCCCATATCGGGATTCCTTACGTCTGTGTACCAAACCAAGCGATTGCTTGGTAAGTTAGCACACAAGCGGAGCCGACAAGCCCGAGCAGAGTGCATTAGGAGACAAATATGAGTGGATTGGTCGACGGACGCGTAGTCATCATCACCGGGGCTGGTCGCGGGATCGGACGTGCGCATGCCTTGGCGTTGCTGCCGAGGGCGCCAAGGTCGTCGTCAACGACATCGGTGCGGGTGCCGACGGTTCCGAGACCGGTGAGAGTCCGGCCGAGCAGGTTGTCGCGGAGATCCATCGCCGCCGGTGGCCAAGCAGTGGTCAACGGAGACGACGTCGCCGACTGGGCGGGCGCCGAGAATCTGATCAAGACCGCGATCGACACCTTCGGTGGCCTGGACGTACTCGTGAACAACGCGGGCTTCCTGCGGGACCGCATGCTGGTCGGCATGAGTGAAGGCGAGTGGGACGCGGTGATTCGCGTGCACCTCAAGGGCACTTCGCGCCGCTGCGTCACGCTGCTGCCTACTGGCGCGCTGAGGCCAAGGCAGGCAAGACCGTCGACGCACGCATCATCAACACCAGTTCGGGTGCAGGACTGCAAGGTTCGATCGGCCAGGGTAACTACGCTGCGGCGAAGGCCGGTATCGCCGAGATGACCATCAGGCCGCAGCCGAGCTCAAGAATTACGGCGTCAGTGTCAACGCGATCGCGCCTGCTGCGCGCACGCGCATGACCGTCGGCGCGGGTGGGGCGATGGCCGAGTCGATGGCAGCTCCCGAAGAGGGCTTCGATGCCATGGCGCCCGAGAACATCTCGCCGCTGGTCGTCTGGCTCGGTAGCGCCGAGGTCCAAGGACGTCACGGGGCGGGTGTTCGAGGTCGAGGGCGGAAAGATCACCGTCGCGGAGGGCTGGCGTCACGGCCCGAGCGAGGACAAGGGTGACCGTTGGGACCCGAAGGAGATCCGGGCCCGTCGTGGCAACGCTGTTGGAGAAGGCGGAGATTCCGACGCCGGTGTACGGAGCGTAGGGCCTCCGGCCCGTGAGTGGATTAAGGAGTGCAGGGACTCCTTAACCACTCACAGGTGATGTGCCGGCTACGCAGGCGCGAACCACCAACACGGTGCCAGGGAACTCTGCGGCGAGCTCGCGCCGAGAATGCTTCACGCAGGCTGTGCCGTAGCCCTTCTTGCGAGATTCCGGCGCGATCCAGATCGCCACGTTGACCTCTTGGCCGTCGAGTTCGCCGAATACCAGGCCGACGCTCTTCGAGCCGTCACCGGAGACGTCCTCGGCGACGAACCAGGCAGCGGTCTCGTCGTCGATCCGGCCGGGGCCACCGACGCGCTCAGCTTCGATCCGATCCTCGCTCCACGGCTTGCCGTCTTCGCCAGCTGCTCGCCCGAACGAATCGTGAACAGCGACTTGTCTTCTGCGCTGTCGCTGAACGGACGCAGGGTGAAGTTCTGCCCGCTGCTCGCGGGACGATCGAGCGTCGTCCATTCGAGAGTGGCGTCGAGATTCTCCAGCTCGCCCTGGATGCGATCGCGCGCAGCCTTGGTGAGCGCACTGAACTTGAGGCTCAGAACTGCTTCGGCATTTGCTTCCGACGTGCCGAGCAGTTCCGCGACGGTGGTCAGTGCCTCCTGGTGGTCCTTGCTGTCGACCACTGCGTCCAGCACCTCGTGGCGACGCTCCAGCGCACGCACGAGGGCTGAGGTGATCTCGCGTCGGTCAGGATTTGATCTTGAATATGCGTCGTCATATATGCGACTCCTTGCTGTGTTCGAGGCTCTGTCCGAAACGCCGTGCGGACCGTACGAGTCAATAGTGCTCCAACTCGCTCGTTATGGCACGTGTTCAGCCTCCGGTGCGGCGAACGGGCCGTTCGTAGCGCTGGCGGGCAGCAGGTGCTGCCGAGCCCGAGTCCGAAGGCAATATCTTGCCAGGTCATGCCCCGTTCGCGGGCAATTCCGAGGAACAGCGCTTCCAGCTGTTCCATTTCGGCTCGGGCCTGGGAATCAGAGTCAACGCAGCCATGACATCGGCGTCGTCGACCTCGGGTTCGTTCGGCTGCGGTGTGTCGGTGCCGCCGGCAAGACGAGCCACGACGCGCACCGCGCCGTAGGGCTCGAGCATCTCCGGATGAGAGTTGCCGCGCGCTGGCTTTGGGTCGCGCCGTGGCGCTCGCTGATCCGAAAGAGTCCGGCGTACTCGCGATGTGCGCGTTCGCGGCCGGAATCGATCGGTCTGAACTGGTCATCGGTCATGAACCCAGGCTGGCACTAACCCGGGCCGATGTAAATGTTTTGTTGTAAACAGTCCGTTTATTTCTTCAGCGGCTCGCACACGATGACGGGAATGATCCGGTCGGTCCAGGCCTGATAGTTGTCGAAATCCGGATACATCGCCGTCAACATCGGCCACAGCCGAGCGCGCTCGTCCTCGGTGGAGACGCGGGCTTTCATCGATCGGATCCGAGACTTGATCTGCACCGTCACCACCGGGTCCGCCTTGATGTTGAGGTACCACATCGGGTTCTTCCGGAAGACCACCTTGCGACGCCACCAGAATCACGTTTTCGCCGTCCTCGAGGAACAGCAACGGACTGATCCGCTCCTCGCCGGATTTGCGACCGGTGGTGGTGAGCAGGCAGATCGGCAGCCCGCGTGGAACGCGCTGCCGACCCGCCACTTGCTACCCAGCCGCCCGTCGGTGGCGCGATACATGGCGACGTTTGCCTTCGACATCCACTTGATGATCTTGACCGTCGCCGGAGCGTCGAGTCCCTTGGGTTTAGCTGGGGAGTAGTCATCTCAGATACGCTCGATGATGGTTCCGGTGGCCAGCGCGCCGCCGGCGCACATCGTGATCAGAGCCGTCGAGCCGTTGCGACGCTTCGAGGTTCGTGCAGTGCGGTGGTGATCAGTCGAGAGCCCGTGCTGCCAACCGGATGGCCGAGAGCGAGCGCGCCGCCGTTGACATTGACGTTGTCGAAGTCAGGTTCGTGTACCTGAGCCCAGGACAGTGCGACGGACGCGAATGCTTCGTTGATCTCGAACAGATCCGAGGTCGCCGATCTTCATTCCGCTCTTCTCCAGGACACGGCTGGTTGCCTGCACCGGTCCCGTCGAGGTGGAATTCCGGTTCCGAGCCGACCAGCGCCTGGGCGATGATGCGGGCTCGCGGCTTCAACCCGAGTGCGCGGGCCTTGTCCTCGTCCATGAGCAGGACTGCGGCCGCGCCGTCGGAGATCTGGGAAGACGTTCCGGCCGTGTGAATCCCGCCTTCGAGGACGGGCTTCAGTCGGGCTAGGGACTCCGGCCGTCGTATCGCGCAGGCCCTGATCGCCGATTGACGAGCTTCGTCTCGCCCGTGAGGTTTCCTTCCTTGTCGACCTGGGGCGCCGAAAGTTCGAGAACCTCGCGGTCGAAACGCCCTTCCTCCCAGGCCTGCTTGGCCCAGCGCCTGCGAGCGGACACCGAGGGCTTCGATGTCGTCGCGGGTCAGTCCGCGTCGACGCGCGATGCGTTCCGCTGCTTCGAACTGGTTGGGCATGTCGATGTCCCACGTCGCAGGCCGACGCGGTCCGGCCTGATCGCCGACGTTTGCGCCGAGGGGGAACCTGGCTCATGGCTTCGATGCCGCAGGCGATGCCCGGCGTCGATGGCGCCGGTGGCGATCAGACCGGCGATCAGATGGTTCGCCTGCTGGGCCGAACCGCACTGGCAGTCCACGGTGGTTGCGCCGGTCTGCCACGGAAGTCCGGCGTGCAGCCAAGCCGTGCGCGTGATGTTGTTGGACTGAGCGCCGGCCTGGGTGACGCAGCCGCCGATCACCTGCTCGATCAGCAACGGGTCGATTCCCCGACCGGTCGAGAACGCCCCTTTGTGCCGCTCCGAGGATCTCGGCGGCGTGCAGACCGGCGAGCCAACCTCCGCGCTTGCCGATCGGTGTACGGACAGCCTCGACGATTACTGGTGTGCCTACAGCGGCTCCTTTCCTTGTAATGAAAAAGTAGAACAGGTTCTCTGTGGGAAGCAAGACCTGTCGACGTTTCCTTTCTAGTAAGCAGGCTTGTGTTTCAATGAGAGTAGAACGTGTTACACATCACGGATCCCCATCACCCCTGTGATGAAAAGGCTTAGGGCAGGAGACATCAGTGGCACAGCCTGCATTCCCCCGAGGGAATCGACTTCACGGACCCCGACATCTACGCGGAACGCATGCCGTTCGAGTTCGCCGAACTCCGGAAGACGGCCCCCGATGGTGGAATCCGCAGCCCCGGAAATCGGTGGATTCCAGGACGAGAGAGCTTCTGGGTAGTCACCCGTCATGAAGAGGTCAAGGAAGTCTCGCAGCGAAGCGACATCTTCTCGACCCACGAGAACACTGCGATTCCTCGCTTCGCCGACGACATCCGCGCGAGAACGTCGAGATGCAGCGATTCATCCTCATCAACAAGGACGCTCCGGAGCACACCAAGCTGCAAGCTGGTTTCACGCGTGGATTCACCCGCAGGAGCCATCAGCAGCCTGCGCGAAGAGGACGACCGAGCGCGCCGAAAAGATCGTCAAGACTGCGGCTGCCGGTGGTGCCGGAGACTTCGTGGTTCGGAGTCGCGTCCGAACTTCCGCTGCAGGCAATCGCCGAGCTTCTCGGTGTGCCTGCAGGAAGATCGAATGAAGCTCTTCGACTGGTCAACCAGATGACGTCCTACGACGATCCTGAGTTCGACATCGACCCGCAGGCAGCGTCGATGGAGTATTCTGGAGAATACGCGTGTACCAGATGGCGGATCAGCGCAAGAAGTGTCCCGCCGATGACATCGTCACCAAGCTCATCGAAGCTGACATCGACGGAAATGAGCTCTCCCCCAGAGGAAATTCGGCTTCTTCGTGATTCTGCTTGCGGTCGCGGGTAACTGAGACCACTCGCAATGCCATCACACGGCATAGTTGCCTTCCTCGACAATCCCGACCAGTGGGAGCTGTACAAGAAGGAACGCCCGGGCCACCGCCTGGCCGACGAGATCGTTCGTTGGGCCGCCTCGGTGACCTCTTTCAGCGGCGCACCGCGCTCGAAGACACTGAACTCGGGGACAGAAGATCAAGAAGAGGGCGATCGCGTCGTGATGATGTACGCGTCGGCCAACTTCGGCGAAGACGTCTTCGAGAACCCCACGAAGTTCGACATCATGCGTGGCCTGAATCCGCACCTCGGATTCGGCGGCACGGGTGCGCACTTCTGCATCGGCGCCAACTTAGCTCGTCTCGAAATCGATCTGATCTTCCAACGCGATCGCCGATCACCTACCCCGACATCACCAGGCTCCGGCGATCCCCCGTCGCCTGCGCGCTCGGGCTGGCTCAGCGGCATCAAAGAGTTTCAGGTTGATTACAAGACATCGGGCTGCCCGGTCAAACGCTGATCCGGACATATACCATGACCTCGGTAACCGGCGAGTAGGTTCTGTGTAGGTTTTCGGGAGTTGCCTCTGCACTCTCGAACACGCAGAACTACAGTAGGCGTTCCGGGGGCCACTAGTTGGCAGCCTGGAACTGCGGCGGCATCTGCGGGATCCCTCATCTCCCGTAGGCGCCGCCGTTTCAGCTGGACCTCAATCTCTAGTTCAGCCGCCGTATGAAGCGTGATGATCGCGCTTCCGGGAAATGTCCCGACGGGTCGAGGAAGTAGACCCCACGCCCACCGTCGTTGGTGTTGGAAGCCGGTACTCGACTGGCGCGGATCTGGCCCAGTGATCAAGTTTCAACGCCTGTATCCGCTGGTAGATGCCGTCGAAGTCATCTTCGGAGACGAGGAAAGCGTAGTGCTGAGACGCAACCTCGACGCCCTCTTCCCACCTGTCGCAAAGTCAGGAGTCACCCCGATGCTTTCGAGTTCGACGCCGAGAAAGTAGCCGGCCTCGACCGGGCCTGGCAGACCGAACATGTGAGTGAAGAACCACGCAGACTCTTGTCGGTCTTTTGCGGCGATGATGGTGTGGTTGAACAGAAATGGTCGCCGAGTGACCCCTTGCACGGTACGACGCCTCCATGCCTGACGCAGTCCGTCATGCGACACGCGACGTTGGCAGCCGGAAACCATTTCAGGGTTCTCGGTGCCAAGTACGACAGGCTGATTCGAATACGACGAGAGCGGCCCCGGTCGGTGACCGGGAACTCTACGCTGCAATGAGTTCTCAGGCTTTGCGTGCCGTCTTCATCGCACGGTCCACTTCCCAGAATGCTCGAAGTGACGCGATCTTGCCTGCGTCGTTCACGCGATAGACGAAGAACACGCCCTCGGCGTCGATGATCGGAAGCCGCCGATGGTGGTCGGATCTTGCCGATGTTGACGTTCTCACGTTGCCGCACGCCCAGTGAATCGTCGATCAGAAGCTCCGAGCTTGTCCGCGATCGCGATCGTCATGTCGTAGAACTTGGAGATCGCTTCGCGGCCGTGATAGCCTTGCCCTCGGATCAGATTCCGACGGCCCGACGCCGGATCCTCTCACCCAGCCGTCCTCGGCGAAGAGGTCCAGCCAGGCTTCCTTGTTCTTGCCACTCGCTGCGGCGCGCGAAGCGCATTACCCGCGACGCGGGCGGGGGTGTTCGTCAGTCATCGCGACTCCTCAGTTGATGTACTGCTCGGCGAACTTACGCATCGAATCCTGCTTTGCCTCCAGCGGGGCATCGAAGCCGATTCCGTCGAAAACCCAGGTACGGTGATTGATGTCCGTGACGCCGGCATCTTCGAGTTCTGCGTAGCCGTCCTTGCCGAAACGGTCGATGCACACCGTCTGGATTTCGAACGGCTCGTTCTCGCGGCCCGTATACTCGGCGCGCAGTTCGATGTAGTCGTGCGATCCACCCGCAGGTCGTCGAGACTTGATCATCGCCGAGGTCAACCGTGCGCCGTGACTCGCGCCAGCGCGGCGAGTGCCACCTCGGTGTGGCCGCCGACGTAGAACGGAACCGGCGAGGGCTAGCTGGACTCATCTGCGGGCGATCGAAATCGAAGAACTCGCCGTGATACTCGACCATCCCGCCGCCGAGAATAAGTTTGAGAACGTCGATCATCTCGTCCCTCGGGCGCCGCGACGCTTGTACGGAGCGCCGCACCACTCGAACTCTTCAGGAGCCCAACCGATTCCGTGCCGAAGCCGAAACGGTTGTTCGTCAATACCACTACAGATCGACCTGCCGCGCGAGCAGAGACCGGATTGCGGCTACCCAACGAGCACCTGGGTGTAGAACCTCGATCTTCTCGGTCACCGCGCCCATTGCAGCTGCGGCGATCAGCGGATCGACGGAGGTCTCGGCATTCTATCCGAGACCCGTCCAGGGTGGGTAATCCGCCGCCTGCGTTTCCATGAAGAACAGTGAATCGGGAGAGCGATCGACGAAAAGCCGCATTCTTCGGCCGTTTTGGCGATACCGGCTAACTGGTCCAAGGGGTTCATAGCAGCCCCGACGGTGTACTTCATCTTCGGCCTCTTTTCCTGATCGTGGCGTGTGTGCTGCTGTTACGTGGTGGGACGTTCGGAGCCGACGACCCGCATCGAGAGGTACTGCGAGCCACGCCGTAGGCATGGCCGGAAGCCTTACGCGCGTCGGCCACCTGTTGATCGCCGGCGCGGTGCATGACCTGCATCGCCGAACTCGGCAAAACGGATCATGCCCGGGCGCCGATCAGGTTGGAAGAGAACACCGCCGGGCATTGACCAGGGCTTGCCGCCGATCGCGGTTTCGCCGGCCTCGGTCAGCTTCAGCCTTGGCCTTCCTCCGCGAAACCGAGGTTGCCGAACCACATCGGCTCGAACCACGAAACAGGACATAGATTTCGGCGCAGTCGATTTCGTTGAGCGGATCGGTGATTCCGCGGACTTCCACAGCGCGGCCGCGGCGTCCGGCCGGCCTGCGGATTGACCTGATCGCGTCCGGCATAGAAGGTCGGCTCGGTGCGCATGGCGGTTGCGTGGATCCACGCGACCGGAACGACCCTCGGCCTCGACCTGTGCGGCCGCTTCCTCGTTGCCGATCACCAGAGCGCACGCGCCGTCCGAGGACAGGCAGGTCTCGTCGTAGCGGATCGGATCCCAGAGCATCTGAGATGCCTGCACCGATTCGAAGGTGATGTCCGGCTGCCGCAGGTGCGCATACGGATTGAGGCTGCCGTTGAGCCGATCCTTCACCGCGACAGGTAGCCGATGTGCTCCAGTGCGCGCTGATCGACGATGTACGAACGGACGTGCGGGGCGAAGTATCACCGGCCCGGCGCCGACAGGCATGTTGAACGGTACTGGTGGTGGACAGCGCCACATGGCGTTCGACTCGGACTGCTTCTCAGAAGCGTCAGAGACCGCTTGTGGACACCGGATTTGGCAGGCTGGAAGCGACGATAGCGTGACCCACCACCAGGCCGGCAGGTGAACGCAGCAACGGCTTTCCGTTGGCACCAAGAGCATCCGACATGGCGAGTTCGGGCATCATCGAACCCTCGAACAGGTCGGGGGCCTTTCGATAGGCGACAGCGTCGATGTCGTCCCAGCCGACGTTGGCGTCGAGCATCGCGGCGTCGATGGCTTACGAACCAGGCCCGCCATCGAGACATCATGACGCTTTGCGACGTAGTGAGTTTGGCTGGTGCCGAGCACGGCCGCGAGTTGAGGCGTTCCGGCCATCGAGTTCCGTCCTCCAAGACTGCTACCAGGTTCTGCTGCAGCACAGGGCCGCTTGTTGCATGGGCCAGAGCGCGATTCGCTAGGCCGTCGAAGATGCCTTGGCGGCGTGGCCGGTCGTTCCGGACCACCGGCGAGGCGGTGGGTTGCCGCTGAGCGGACCGCCGGACGGATTGATCGTGGTGGCGTCGGTCAGGCCGATCGCTTCCTTCAAAGATCAATTCCTGGTGAGTGAACGGTGCGTGCAGTTCGGCGACGTCGATGTTTGCCGACCTCGCCGCTCGTTGCCGCCTTGGCTGCCGACGTAGTGGACGGCGACGTGGTCAGGTCACGTGCACCCAGGTTGGGAGTCGATGCGATGCTCGGTCCGGTGATCACGCCGGCCGATCGCACGAGAATCGCAGGCGCGGTACCGAGGCCAGGACGATACTGCCGCACCATCGGTGATGGGTGCACAATCGTGTGCGCGCAACGGATCTGCGAGGAACGGGCTGGCGAGTAGTGCCTCGATGTCGACCTCGCCCGCGAGCTGAGCCTTCGGATTACTCAGCGCGTGACGACGGCTGCGGCGGCAACCTCCGCCATGTCCTCTTGCGTCCACTTACCCGCGTCGAGTCCGAGTCGGGCTTGAAGTCCGGCGATCGAGACGGAGTCCGGCTCACAGCGGGTGACGAGGTACGGATCGAGCTGCATGGACAGGATCTTGCGCAGGTGCCCGGCGGAGGATTTGCCGAAGCCATAGCCCACCAGCTGCGGTCTCGACCTCGCCGGTCAAGATCTTGATCCACGCTTCGTGAAGGCCCGCAGCATCTGCATCTCGACGTGAGATTCGTTGATCGGCGGGACCGCTCCGATGGAGTCGATGGCCGAGATGAAGGAGAACGCTCGTCCGGCCAGGTAATCCGGAAGATCCGGAGCACCAGAAGCCGATGTCGGACTTGGTGATTCCCAGATCGCTGTAGAGCTGCTGGAAGCACGGGACGAGCATCTCGACGCCGATTAGTGGTGCCGTTGGTTTTTCGCGGACGTGGGGTGCCTGAGCAAAGCCCACGACTGCGATGTCTGCAGAAGTCATTTCAGGAGCCTCACGGGTGGTGTTGGAAGGTGGAGTACTCGGCGTCAGGTTCACCTGTCGGCCGGAAGTATTCGATGTTCTCGAGGTGTAACCCCCACTCTTCGCGAAGCTTCCACTTGGCTTCGACGCGCATGCCCATGCGGCCGTCCGCGGACATCACATTCGAGGATCAAGTGCAGGAACGGAATGTCGGCTCCGTCGAGAAGCACGTAGGCGGCCACGTAAGGGAGGTTTGATTCGCTGCCCGAGGAACGGGACGTTGACGATGCAGAAGGTGGTGACAATTCGCTTGTCGGGCAGTTCGATCTGCTCGCTCGTCGGCTTCCGTTGGTGGGATTCGCGCCGCGCGGTAGGATGTAGATCTTGTCTTCGGGTCCGCTGCGACCACCGATCAGCTTGCCTTCTGCGAGACCACGGAGGTAGAAACTCTCTCGGCCGGGCGGAATGCGCTGAAGTGCGGGTCGACGGGCGTCGTGATCATGGTGACAGGATTGGCGGTGGAATCGACTGTCGCGATTCCATTTTCAGCTCACACCTGGTTCGAAGCACTCGATGTCGCTTGATCTACCCGATCCGCTCCGACGCCCGCGGCACGAACCCGCAGGCCGGTGCTGATGTCGTCGAGGGAGTCGACGTCGACCGCGTGGAGCATGGACGTGTCCGCGCCGTCGAGCGAGTCCAGGAGCCCAGCGAAAGGCTTCGTCAGGGGGGTGACCCTCGATGAGTTTCAGGCATCCACGTCAACTCGACCGTTCCGCCGTCCGGAGACTCCGAGCGAAGTCGGTCAGTGGATTCGGCCGTATCCGGATCGGGCGAATTCCGGTGGCGGCACGAGAGACACGACCGTTCGACCCACGTGCGCGCCGATCACCTTGCGATCACGCAGGGCGGTCACGAACGCGCCGATGGTCGGTCCGTCGATCTGGTGCTAGATCGAAATGGAGATTCAGTAAGCAGATTTGCGCTCCGGGGGCTTGTCCGGCCCACCGCGCTCTTTCCGATGGTCACAAGATCGAGTAGAACAGGTTCTAGAGATTGGCGGCAAGAGTCACTTCTGATCACCGGCGGCAATGTGGAGGCCTACGATGAAGCTTGGGTTGCAACTCGGATACTGGGGCGCACGGCCGCCGGCAAACGCGCCCGGAACTGATCGAGGCAGCGGAAGGCGCGGGATTCGACGCGCGGTCTTCGCAGGCGGAGTCGTGAGGCTCGGACGCATTCACCCCGCTTGGCTGGTAGGATCTCGGACCGAGAACGTCCGTCTCGGCACGTCCGATCGTACAGATTTCGGCACGAACTGCCGACCAGCTGTACCGTAATGCACGCGCTTCACTCCTCGATCACCTCAACGGTGGGCGAACGATCCCTCGAGCTCGGCATTATGTCCGGCCCGCAAGTCTCGTCGAAGGTTGGTACGGCCAGCCATTCGAGAAGCCGCTCGCGCGCACCCGCGAATACGTCTCGATCGTGCTTGGGTCCTCGCCCGTGAAGCGCCAGTCACCAGCCCCGGCCCCCACTACCCTCTGCCGTATGCGGGACCGGGCGGTTCGGGACTTAACGGCAAGCCGCTCAAGCCCATTACGCACCCGCTGCGGTGCTGGACATCCCGATCTGGCTCGGCGCCGAAGGAGCCGAAGAACGTAGCGCTCGCCGGTAGAAATCGCCGACGGGTGGCTGGCGATCTACTACGCCGCGCCTGGCCCCGATGTACAACAAGTGGCTCGACGAAGGCTTCGCTCGCGCCGGGGCCCGTCGTAGTCGCGAGGAACTTCGAGGTGGCCGCCACGTGCCGGAGTCATCGTGACCGACGATCGTGCCGCCGCCATCGCCGCTCTCAAGCCGATGACCGCCCTCTACGTCACGGCGGAATGGGCGCTCCAGAGTTGAACTTTCACGCGCAGGTCTACAAGCGGATGTAGGCTACGAAGGAGGTCGACGAGATCGGTCGCCTCTTCATGTCGGGCCGCAAAGGACGAAGCTGCTGCCGTCGTCCCCGACGAGATGGTCACACCGAGACCATGATCGCTCGGCAACGTCGAGCGAGGTGCGCAGGGCCCGTAAAGCGTTGGGGAGGAAGCCGGAGTCACGATGCTGCTGGTGACCTGCCGAGACGCCCGACCATGTGCGAGGCTCGCGGCCGCCAGGTAGGATTGGTTGAGGCAGGGCACCCCCTTTTTCGAGCGGGACCCCACTTTTAGTGAGCGAACGGCGTTCAGCGCATCTAAGGCGCTCAACGTGCCTTTCGCTCGCCGAAAAGATATCCACAGAGCCGCCAAAACCCAGGTCGCCGCCGGGGCCCGCGCTGATGCTCGGAAGTCGCTGCACACCATGCGGCGAGGAACGCGTGGGGCGATGATCTGGACGCGATTTGCCGCGTCAGTCGAGCAGGTGATCCGAACGGCGGAGTTGGCGCGATTGGGCGTATCAACTCCGCAGTGCACACCGGTGTCGAATTAGGTGGACCGTGGCAGCGCATTGCCGGGGTCATTCTGTAAAAATGGTCAGCCGACGCCACGTCAGCTTGATCGTCGCTGCGCTCATGTTGAGCGGTGACGAGTCTGCTGACGGGGCGATCTGCATGTCGGAGTACGGATATCGGACGCACGCCGGGGATGTGCAGGTGCTCATCCCCATCGACCGTCGAGTTCAATCAGTTGGATTTATTGTCACGGTGGAGCGCACTATTCGACTGCCCCTGAGCCGGAGATTCGCAACGGACTGCGC